CCTGGGTCATCTCGGGGTCGAGCTCCACGTAACGCTCCGGAGCCTGAATAATCTCGGCCTTCAGCTTGCCCTCCACGTGGGTGCGGTACAGCGCCTTACTAACCATGCCGTACAGGGCCTGGTACGATATGTTCCCTGCCCCCACCTGGAACATACCCAGGTCCAGACGGTCCACCAGCTGCCGGGGGCCGGGGGGGGGCGGGGGGGGGGCGGGTGGGAGGGGCAGGAGGGGCAGGAGAAGGGGGGGAGGGGAAGAACCACTGGCGAATGAAACAGATAAAGACGAACCACTGACGATAGCGGCTGAGACACCAGAGATAGACACGGATAGTCCAGGAGAAGAAGACAAATGCTGCAGAAGGAGAAGGGAGAAGGACGAAGGGAGAAGGGGGGGAATAAGGGGGTCGCTCCCACCAAACACACACGCACACACACACGGGTTAGGTTACTTTGCCACCACACCTGCATGTACATAACGGCCTCGCTAACCGAAAAAAGGGTGTTGAGAAAAACCCAGCGACCCTCGTTGCGAAGATTTACCACCTCCCTGCCGTACAACTCCCGTATTTCCTGCCAGTTCATCATACGCGTGCCGTGCATGGCGCGCTTCACCAAACTGCTCCAGCGCGGGACGGGGGGCCGGGGGAGAGAGGGGGAAAGACGAACCACGAACAAGGGGGACAAGGGGGGTTGTAAGGCCGGCGCTGAGGGGGGAGGGGAGGGGAGAAGAAGAGATGGGGGGGAGGCTGCTGAAGGCTGCGGGTGAGTAACCTTGTGGGCGTGTGCGTTTTTCGAACTTCCGGGTGTGGTAGTGTGGTATTGGAAAGGGAGCAGCTGCCGTGACTGTATCCATCTGTATGTCGGTATGTGCCCGATCCACCAATTTCCACACCCACACGGGCGAGAGCAAACCAAGAGGGGGAGGAGCCACGTAAAGTCAAGGAGGCGACATCGGTAGGCCTTGTGCGCGCCGCAACAGAGCCCGCTCGTCCGTCTGTCTGTCTGTGTGCATGCCTAGCCCGTCTGTCCCGGAGCTAACCCTCCACTACTCGTCCCTCCCTCTCCCCCTCGCTGCATGTCCCCCCGGGCCTCCAGCTGCCCTGCCGGGTCCCCCTCCTCTTCCTCCTCGTCTCCTCTCCCCCTCTCTCTTTTCCAGGCTCACCCGAATCGGTCCACCTTGATGAGGTTGCCATGTTCCTTATCCATAATGAGACCGCGAATCACCAGGTCGGGATCGAACCGGAGACCATCCACCGGCACGCCCTGCTGCCGCAACGTCTCCAACCCGTACTCGTACGCACGGCCCTCCCACGCATTCACATCGTAGTGGATGAGCGTGTAATCCTGCCCCAGTGAAAGGGAGGGGAGGCGAGGGTTTTAACGGAGGGTTTAAACGGGCGGGGGGGAGGCGAACCACGGACGAGTGAAGCAGGTGGCGAGGGGGCAGTGACGCAGCTGTACCTTCCATACCCGGGGACAGCCAATGGTGGGGGGAGAGGGATTCGAAATAGCGACCAGGGGTAGCACCCACCATCATCCAGTCAGCCACACAGTCCGCAGCGACCAGGTCGTTGAGCTACGTGGTTATGCGCTACGCTCCTCTTCCCCCCACGGCCGCCAGGTCATCGCGATGACGGGTATCAGAGTCCGTCAGCACCAGCACGTCCCCCCGCCCGCCCACTACCCAGCCAGGTCCCCCTGGAGCCCACCCCACCTACCATGTCGTAGCCTTGCGCCGCCACACGCAGCCAGGGTTCCAAGATCCCATTAAAGTCCATATCCAGGGAGGGACGGCATATAGGGAACAAAAGAGGGGAAGGGCCTGAGCATGGACATACGCACTTCTTTGCATGTATGTATGTATGTCCTCAGTCAGGTCCACGTCCCCAAACCCCACCCCACCCCGCAGTCCACATGCCACCACACGTGCTCCCCACAACCACCCCACCTTCCTTGGAGCTGATCCCTCCCCACCTTCCTTGGCCCCCCCAGCTGCTCCGCCCCCGACCCGTCACAGCGTCCAGTCGCCTCGCGGTCCTAGCCACCAGTCCTCCGCCTCCGCAGCCCCAGCCAGCCGCCCTGCCTCACACCCTCCTCAGAGCCCTGGCCCCCCTACTTCCCTACCCTTCCCTTCCGTACCCGCCTACCTATGGCCTTAATGGACCTCAAGTTGAGTGTACGACTGCAGTAAATGGCCCTCTGCGGGTTGCCGTCGGGGAAGGACTCCGGGACGTCCAACACGTCCAACACGCTCTGAATACACATACACATACATACACACGCACACACACATACACACGCACACGCACCGGGACGGACAGGGGGACCGGCAGCGAAGTGCATCAGTACGCGGTGAGGCAAGGAGGATCTACTTAGAACGTGCGACCAGGCGGGGGGGGGGGAGCGGGGGGCCCCGGGGCGTCAGGACGAGGACTTAGGCGCCACTTGGTCCCGGAATCCCGGGGCCTCATCACCACTAGGCGGCAAGGTGGAGGGCCGGGGGATGCAGACACCCTCCCAGGCAGCCGCGGGGAGTAAGGTGCCTCCGGTGTATCCAATGCCCCCCGACAAACACACACACCACCGCCCAACCACCGCCCTTTCGGCCCTTCAGGCTCTACGCATTACCCCGCGCGCGGATTTCTGCCACCATTTCCTACTCAACCGTGCCACTACCCCCCCAGCTCACCCCGCCCCACCCGCTCGCGGACCTGTTCCCCTCCCTCCCTCTCCACTTCCCAGCACGCCCTACCCGCAGCCCCTCGGCCCCCTTTCCCTCTCCTACTCCCCAGCCCCGCGGCCCCCCCACGCACGCACGCACCTGCGTTGCCGCCTTGAGCTTCGCCAGCGGCAGGGAGTAGATGTCGTCCAGTGACTGCATTCCGAACACGTTAATGACCCCCACCCGGCCCTTGCGGAGGCTATCCACCAGATGCAGGTGCAGGTCGCCCTCCGTGCTTTCACCCAGGAAGTCAATCTAAGTGCGTGCGTGTATGGGGGGGCCCGGGAGGGAGGGAGGAGAGAGAGATGGGGGCCGGATGGGGATAGGGCGACTTTAGGACGTCGCGAAGTTCAGGAGAGGTGGGAATGCAGGTACGGCGGGGCCGTGCAGCGTCAGGCGGTTACTTTTAAAGAGTAGCTGCGGCGGCGGCCCGTAGTAGCAGTGCTCCCTATGTGCCGTCGGGAAGTTGCGGCGGCAGCCATGCCAACCTAAATAGCAGTGACAGGCCGCGACAGCACGGCTGCGAGCAAATCCTGTCGCGCCTCTGTGCACGGGATACGCATCCACCATACGGTAATGGCTGTACGGCTGTACGTTTCCATCAGACAGTCCTGTCGTGCAGTTGGTTGCGGAGAAGGCCACGAAATCCCGCCTTATTAGCCAAAGACTCTGCCCTGATGTCTAACCCCCAAGGTGGAACGCAGCATGAGGCAAGGCAGTGCAGCCTTGGCATAACATGTGGGTGCCGCCTGGAGGAATTTTGGAGGGCTTGGCTGCGAACCCATCGCTTATCCTATCGCGTGCACGGAGGCGTGGCTGCGGTATGGAACGGAGGGGTTTACGCCTCCCAAGCTCTTGAGGGCCCTGTCATATGACCCCCGGATGCGGCCCTACCACGGCGGCATCCTCCTGCACCGGCTCCACCAAGCCAGTGCTGGTGGCGAAAGTCTCCTCCGCGGTGGAGGCAGCATCCTCAGCTGCAGGTTGTGGCGTCGGCTGGAGGACGTCCGACACTCCTCCAGCACCCGACTGGCAAATCCATGGAGTTTGGAAAGTGAAACGGGACCTGGCAGGAACTCTAACTGGCGCAAAGACCCTCGCAACGCGCTGCGTGCGGAGTTTGCATGTACTGGAAGGAACCCTGGCGCCGAGAGGCCGAAGGCGCATCCCCCCGAAGCTGCCTTTGTCGAAAGGTGCAAGTTATTGTCCTCTTCGCTCGAGTTGAACGGCAACCTGGCCAGCTAGCTGAAATGCCAAAGTCAGAAGCAACACGGGCGAAAGTAGCCTTGCTCACGGTGCAGTCGGTGAAAGCTTTCGGCCCAGATGATGTCTTAAGTCTTACAACCTAGTCTTTGCCACCTTTCCCAGTCAAAACACGAGTGTACTGCATTTCGTTACCTCTTGAAGCGGGAAAGGCAGTGAAGGTAGAGGGAGATCCTGCATGATAAACTCATGGCCGAAAGGTACTAGTGGCTTATGAATTCTTGCGCTGGACATGGCTCATAGAAGGAAACGCAAGTTTTGCACTTTGGCCCGTTGTTTTCTGGTTTGCTGGCCAGACGGCTGCCTCTGTGCTACTGTAGCACATAGGTTTTTACCTTGGGGCATAGGGTTGCGAGCTTATTGTTGACCGCCCAAGACATCAGGTGCCGCCTGAAATCGCTACCCAGGTTTTGCACTTGAATAAAAGTCAAACTCTGGTGCTGCCAAGCGTGCATGCGGATGGATGACCAGGATAAGTGTTCATTTACGGGACTGCCTGCTGAGTCGAGTGCCTATCTGTCTCGTGCATCGGCAACCCATTCTACCGTATTGTGACTCGCCGCAACCAGCCGAACTCCATCATCCTTCATGTTCTTATGTCACGTGCATCCATCATCCACCAAGCAGCGCGGCGAAGTGAAGGGGAGCTTCCTACACTTGCTTTCCGAGACTTGCGATCCTAAGACTTGCAGATGCGCTTTTCTCTTCCGAGAGGGTTTCTACAGAGTGCATAGCTGGTAGATTCGAACATCCTCAAGCGCCAAATAGACCCGATGCTGCGCTGCCTGCAACTGCTCTAAGTAACCATTAGAATATCCCTATGGATAGCAAACCCTATCTGAAAACTATCACTCTGTACCCATCACATGTAGCAAAGAGATGCATGCCGGGACCGGGACATGCCGTACCCCATGCTTGGTGGCCTGACCATGTATCAGGCCTATAGTCTTGTACAGTAGTGGCGACAGCTCATATTTACAAGCCTTGGCGAGTCGACGACATACGCACTGATAGCCGGCATTCCCGTGCAGGTGCAACGAGGTACGAACCCCGAGAGCGCCCAGGGATGGGTGGCAACGTAGAGACTGAACTAGCGGCAGCGCTGCGTGCGTGTCCACAGACAGAAGTGCAACCGATGAATTGTACATGTTGCCCGTGTCATGCCAGACGGGGCCAGCAGTGGGGCTCGATGATAGCCACAGTCAAAATGCTGAAAGGCGTTCGTGGTGACGTGTTCACTAGCACAAGTTATCCGCGCTCTCAAGAGTTTCCAGCATTGCGTCCCGTACCGCTCGGAGGGTACCTGCAAGCAGAGAAAAAATGGTTTTGATGGGGAGAGGAATGAGTTATGGCTATAGCGAGACTCGCATAGTTTTTTGGTGCAGCGTGACACTGCGGTAATTGAATCTGACAGAAATCTGACCCGTGAACTGTACGAATACGAAGGCCGCAGCATTAAATGTCCGATCAACCGGCCCTGTGCACTGTACGACACGCAGCCGACACAACCGCTTCGCAGGACGAACGCAGGAAAGCACGGTTTCGGCTGCACGCAATGATTTTGTGAAAATCGATGAATAACCTGGGTTTTCCTCACAAAGCTCCGACATACCAGGACATGCCAAGGACCGAAGACGTGACAGTACGCAAATCCCCCTGTCAGCAAATATCTTGCCCGTATGGACGCTGCTGCAGACGTCGCCATGAGGGAACATCAGCTGTGTGATGAAGATGACGACTGGAAACGAAGGGTGGCGGCATCGTTGTATGCCGGAGACACCGGGGAGTTGGCAGGGGTTATTACGACCGATGTGATCCTAACACGGGGCGCGAATGAGAAAAAAGACAGCAACACTGGGAAAATCTAAAATTATACGTAGCTATTAGTTCTTTGCCTGTCCTTGGGTCTCTGGAGTAGGAGGAGCGTAGGACATGGCAGAACTGAAACGACTAGCCCTGGTCACCTGCCGCCGTTGCTCTTCTATCGGCCACGACCCAACTCTTCTACGGTAACACAGAAAGCTTGCCTGCCGCGTTTTAGTTAAAATGGAAATTATTTTATGTAAATATCATTTGTGGCTGTGTCAATCCTCACCAATAATGATCGGAAAGCCCGAGAAAAGGCTTCGATGTGTACAGCAGAAACACCGCCCCTAGGCAAGCAGTAGACACGCCTTCCTGCCAGCTGCCAAGCCTAGGTCTCTCTAATCCGCAAGAATCGAGGAAATAGTAGTATGTCTAAATCTTCACCATTCCATTCTCCAGGGCAATCCAGGGCACAATAATGCCCTTTTCCACGCGTCTGGCTGCTTTCTTTTGCAGCCTAGCATCACCTCGGGCGCTGAAGACAGCTGCTCTCTTCATCACTGCCTCACTGGGCCATCAACGCACCACCTCCGGTCCCGTGATCTCCGTCATCGCCACCTCTGCCGACATCGCCAAGGCCGTCATAACGCTACGGCAATCGAGGCCCCAGGTCCCTAAGCCGCGCCTTGGGCGAGCCATGATCCTGCCTACATTCTGTCTCATCATCATGATGGGTGCTGTGACAGCGGACATTACCGATACAAAGCTATACGGCGACCATCCGCGGTGGCTTGCAGAAAACGCTGCAGACGGCGCCAGAGGTCCGATGGTGGGGGCGGCGGCGAATACAATATCAGCGGTAGCTGGCGAGGAGGAATCAGACATCGAGGAGATGTCCTACCGGGGCGAGCCAAAGGAGGTTGCGAAACCATACCCCAATCCGATTGTCGTGCCGCCCCTCCAGAGCTATAAGTACGACATCGCGCTCAGCACGGGGTACCGGTGAGTGTCCTTCCACTTGTGTGTGTGTGTGTGTTACATGGTTGGGGGGTGCGTGACCCCATACCTGTAAAACTACCCATACGAGCCGAAGGCCCAAGGGCAATACTACAACGCCTAAAAGCCACGGAGAAAAGGAAAAACACCGCACATCAGCCCAGATTAGCGTCCAAAGGGGGTAATTGAGTTTCGGTGAGCCCACATACTTTCCAACATCCTCGCCAGACGTGTTGGCTCCCATTTCATGGCCTCCAACATGCTCTGTTGATGATCGAATCCCTCTTCAGCACGAATATCATTATAGGCTGGGCATTCCAATAACACGTGTTTTTCATCCTCGATTCGGCTATTAGTACCACAACAGCGGCAAAACCGCTGCCCCCTGGGGACATGGTACTTGCCTCTTCGTGCTCTGTTTGCCTCCAGAACCCAGCAACATAAACAAAACTGCACTTGCTTACGGTGTGCTAAACGAGGAATGAAAACCTTAGCATGTGTTGGCCACATGACGGCTGCGGCTCCCGAAAAGAGCAGCCCCATCCAGTGCTTATACTTCGCCATTTGCACTCCCGGTTACTTCCCATCTGATGGGTACTCCTCTGGCAAGACAGTCAGACGCGTATGGTCCCAGCCGCTCATCAAACGCTCTCTTAGTGCCGTTATCATCGCTCCTTCGGGTAGAGGGCTACTCAACAACCAGTCAACACGCTCCTTTACCCCCACGACTTCTTGCGGTATTCCGCTCCAAATGGTGCACTCCAAGAAGGAAAACAGTCGTAACGTTGAGGTTCCCCAACTCTCCCATTCCGGGTTGGTCAGGGCATCGGTTATCTCCTGCCGTAAAACTGCATGAGCAATGGACCCCACTTGTTTTTGAAGGCGGTTCCAGAAACGGAGGATCTGTTTCACCATGTAATACTGTAAGGGGAGTTCAGCCAGCTCCGCATACAACAGCCTGTGGGATGGCCGTGCCGCCCCCACTACCTGCCTCATGAATAAAATCTGCAGCTGGACTGCACCATCCTTCAAACAGGCTTCGAACATGCCCTCCGCATGGTTGGCTATATCCCGCCGCCTTCCCGCCCTGTCCACGACCTCTGCCAGCGCAAAAGGGCCCCACGCCTGGCAGCCATACAACAGAATTGCTCGGACTTGGATTGCAAAGCACCGCATTCGCACGTCGGGGGCAAACAGCTTATTTTGTCCAGCTTTGCGTCCACTTGTATTCGTACGGAGAGCGTGTGCCTGATTAGGATCGCATGTGTCTGGCGGCCAGGCGGGGCGGCTGGGTTGATCCGCGCGCGATGTCAGCGGTCATACCACGACCCTCCTCCGCCGCCCTCTTCTCCTCTATGCCCCGACGTGCAACGCAAACCGCAGGTCCCTGTACGGCGCCACTTTCGCCTCCTGCCTCGTGGGCCTGATGGCGTCCGGGGCCATGCTACACGCCAGGGCGCTGCACCTGCTGCTGAGCGACGCAAAACTGCTGAACATGAGCCTGCTGCACAACCTGGCGCACATGGGCACGAATGTGCGGGTTAGCCTGTACGACGTCACGGGAGCGTCAAGCTCCATGCGCGCGCGCAACACATTTTACCAGTTGAGAGCCCGGACGGCGAAATTGGCTAGCATGAAGCTTCTGGGTGGCAGCACAGTCAGCATGAAAGCAGATGCTTGTACGAGTCCATTCCTCGGTGTTTCATGAGTACCCTGCATCTCTAGCTTAGCTACGGTGCCGATCTCCATCCTGTCCTCCATCCATCCTCATTCCAACATTCCATAGCTCACGTACGGAGTCAGGACAGTAACCGCTACACTGAACTTGCTCTGCACCCAGATGCACCCAGATATGAGTCCATTCTTCGGTGTTTACCTCAACATTGTATGCCCCCCAGGCTGCTGCGCGTGCCGGACCTGCTGCCTGGCGGCCAGTACGGCAGTACCCCCGCATCCAACCCCGCACACCGCCAGCTAGCTGCGGATGCGGGGCCGGGGCCGGGTGCTGGTGCGACGGGCAGTGCTGTGGCGCTCGGTGGGAGCGACCTGCCGTCCGTGTTTCTTGAGGACGACGTGTGGCCGGTGGACGACTTCCCTCGAAAGGTGAGCACGGATAGGTGTATCATGGTATAAGGGAGGGGAGGGGGGGAGGGGAGGGGAGGGCAGCAGCACCCTCTCACCCATACAAATGGAAGCGCGCTAACCGGAGGAGGGAAGGGAGGAGGAGGGAGGAGGGAGGCCCTGCCTGCGAACGACATGGGCTGCGACAGCATACAGCCCAAGGCATGCAAGCGATAGCAGTGAAGGCCATATCACTGTAGTGTACTGTAGGCCATGCAGCCGTACGGTCCAGGCTTTTGGTTAGGGTTTTTGGCATATAGCCACTCGCGTTCCTAGCAAGCGAACGTTGCCATTTCAACAGGCTTTCCTTCAGCACCATCGCTTATCCAAACACACTTCTTACGAACCTCGTCCCTCCCCTGCCCGCCCGTGTGAACCCGGACCCCAGATGCACTTGGTCGCCACCCGTGCAGCCGTTAGGACGGGTGGATTGCCTTTCGTCATCAAGCTCTACCTCCATTCTGGCAAGTGGGGGTTCCCGGCAGCAATCCGCGAGGAGCACACAAAGACCTGTAACGTGACTGTGACCCAGTTTCCTATCCCCGAACACCCGGACGGCAACAGCGACTTCAAGCCTGCTTTCAAGGGCGCCGTTGAGGGCGGCCCCGGGGCTGTGCTGGTGACTGCTTTTCCAAGGAGCAGTGGCAGTAATGGCGATGCCGGGAACAGCACCGATACCCGCAGCAGCATCGGTAACGCTGGCGGAGACCCAATGCTGCGGGGTTACCGGGCCAAGCCGCGCACATACAAGTGGGGGGCGCAGGGTCTGTACTTTTCCGATGGGCTCACGAGGCGGCGCCTGGCGGACTGCTACTTGCACTACACCGCCCGGTCCTTCGAGAAGCAGCGGCGGTATAAAGTGGGTTCCGCAATACTCCATTGCCCTGCGGCTGTTGGTGTGACGTGGGTGATCTGGCTGTCAAGAGGTTGCGGTAGGACGGGTTGCAGTGCGGTTTTCTTGGCTATCTGTCCTTGGTTGCACGCGTGTGATGACTGAACGAAGAGGAAGTACGCGACATGCAATCACGCCGGAATTCGGGCCGCCACCACCACCACCAGCTCTATGAAAAGCACCCCTTTCATCTTTTCTCTTGCCTCCTCTCCTCCTTCGCCTTCATACGGCTCCCCGCCCCATGCGCCGCCCACGCGTTGGCTCCACACCGCCACCGCCTCTAATGCTACTGTGGCCGCAGGATTGGCCGCTCAAGATGTGCCTCGGCCACCTTAAGATCGGCATGTTCTCCAGTGGCCGCTCTCTGGTGCAGCATATCGGGGCCGCCAGCAGCCTGTTTGGAGACATCAGCAAGAACGCAAAATATCACCGGGCTTGCAGCTTCCCATTTGTGGAGAAGCTCCCTTCCGAAGACGAGCGGACGGACTGGTACTGAGAGCTCTAAAGTTACTGCCCGCACCCGCAAATACGTTTGCTTGACAATTGTGTACGGTATGGTGTGGCACGGCACGGACGACTATAATGGCTTGGCTGCGCCATGGCCCGGTGGGCGGAATCGTTAGCAAATCCTAGTTTTATTTCTGAGCAAACTCTTGTTTCTGAACGTCGTAGTGCCAGAGGGAGAGAAAGCTGCGACGCCTCGTTGAAGGATGTGCGAAATGTTATTAAAGCTAAGGAGGCAGGTGGAGGGTCATTCTAGGTGTTTGCCTTGTGTGCAGTATTGTGAGTGTGGAGAGCATTGCCTGGATAGGAATGTGCACCATGCGCACCCCATGCGCGAGCATGAATCTACTAGTCGATGCGTATTCCGGCGGCTGTGGATGCACCTGGCATACATACGCCCAGGCCTGGATAGGAGCCTTACGTCGCCTTGCATGAGCCATCATCTAGAGATGCGCGCTGGCGTATAAATCTCCGAAGTCGCGCGTGTGCGTAGAGCGTCCCGTAACGATACTTGGGGTGTGGAGTTTGGTTGCGCCCTTCAACCTGGCCACGCCAGCCTACCAAGATTGACGTCATGACGTACACACGCCACCAACAAGGCGCGTATGTAAATTACGCCGGCTATGGATCAAATATATACACATAGACCCCACACCCTTTCAAAGGAACACATCAACGGGTGACCTGCAGGAGCTGGCCGCCGGAAGGGGCCCTCGAGCTGCTGGGGGTGCATTTCAGCTTTATTAAGATAAAGATAAGCCGTTTTTCCTGCATAACTGTATTGGCAGTATGTGCCTACGACAATCTACGACAATTATACAGCACCCGGGAGCACATTCGCATGTCACATCCCAGCAGGGCACTGTTCTTGTATAACCACCACAGTTTGTGTACATGTGGTAGGGAGAACTACCGATGAGTGAACGAAGGAAGGTTCACTGCATCGATGACGACGACGTATACAGCATTCTGTACGATCCGGACTGTACGATCCGGAAGAAAGAATCTCATCGCAAGATAATCGCCAGTCGGTGTAATCATAGGCCCAAGTGGGTCTACCAGTGAGAAGTGTCACGATATAAGAGCGCCTGTAGTAGCTGGTACACAGTACGGCTCTACAAATACGCGCGAAGCGCGACCACCAGCATCTCGAGAGGCCTTTTCAGCGGCCAGCTACTACAGCGCCGTAATCCAGCAATACTGCTGCATGGCTGTCAAGTGTGGGGGCCGTTTATGCCAGCTGAAGTCTTAAGCAGGCTCAGGAGGCGGAGTGATGCGAGTAACCTTGCGGAGGGGGGCCCCTCGAGGCGTGCCTAAAGGACGGAGCGGTGCAGCTTCAGATATCGTTCATGCGACAAATTGTGGGAGCTGCGAGACCAACACATCGCCTCCTGTTTGCCGAACTGTCGCAGCTACCCCTACATTACCACGTTTTCAAGCAGGTCGTGAGGTTTTGAAACCGTGTCCGTTAACAGCGTGGGTCTGTGGCACACCAAGTTTTGCGACAGGAGGTCGCAGAGTCCCTCTCCAACCCCGACGCTTTCAGAGCGCTGGAAGTCATTCAGAGCGAAATGGCCAGCGTAGCACAAGTCATGAACGCTCCCTGGGATAATCTGGCTGTGGGCTTTCCTCACAAAACTACGACATGCAGGGCGATTTGGGTACTGTCACGCCAAGGACCGAAGGCGTGACAGTACGCAAATCCCCCTGCAGCAATTATCTTGTGCATATGGAAGTTGCTGCAGACGTCGCCATGAGGGAAATTTAGCTGTGTTATAAAGACGACGCTTGAAACGAAGGGTGGCGCCACCGGAGCTTGCTGCGGGCTGGCAGGTATGGTCCCGATGCGACGCGCTAGGGTTCGTCAAGCCCCTGGTCCAGCCCAGTAGCCACAAGCAACTGAAATTATGTTCTAGTATGAAAGTTAATTGCCGGTGTATTGGCTGACCTTGGGTCTCTTGCAGAGGAATATGGGACATGACAGAACTACAACGGCTGTAGGCTCTGCCGTTGCACGTACCTCGATTCTGTCATGTCCAAAACCTTCCAAGGCTGCACATAGAGCATAATTGCCTGAATTGTATTGTTGAATTAATGAAAATAAATATGTATTTAAATATTATTGGTCCTGACGCCCGAGGCCGAGGATTTCGCGGATGAGGTAGATGTTCGGCGACGCCAAGAATTACGTAATCTGTTAATCCCGAGGCGAATCATTAATTATATCAGGCACAAATTTCAGCCTAATCTTTTTGTTACTGTGATTATATTATTTACTTGTTTCATTTCATGATGATGCTGGCAGGACCACGAGCTGTGCGGCTAGTGAACTGATTGCGGAGGTCCACACAAGTCCCTGTCCTAGTAGCATAAGTAAAACATATAGCTGAACTTATAGCCTTACTGCCTATGACTCTTCACTCTGGGAGCCTTTTGCCTCGCTTGGCTGCATTTCCCTAAGTGTCTCTCGTCCTATCCTCCTCTCCTGACACTGCTGCAGCCGGAGTTTTCTTCGTATGAAAAGCTTTCGCTTGATTGGAAGGTAGGGATCCAAATTAATAATGTTATTAGCGGAAATTTGGGGTTTATTCCGCTTGCTTATTAACAGACATGGCTAGGTGCAACCGGCCCTAGGCAAGCAGTAGACACGCCTTCCTGCCAGCTGCCAGGCCTAGGTCTCTCTAATCCGCAAGAATCGAGGAAATATGTATTATGTCTAAATCTTCAACATTCCAAACTCCAGGGCAATCCAGGGCACTATAATGCCCTTCTTCACGCGTCTGGCTGCTTTCTTTTGCAGCCTAGCATCACCTCGGGCGCTGAAGACAGCTGCTCTCTTCATCACTGCCTCACTGGGCCATCAACGCACCACCACCGACCCCGTAATCGCCGTCAGTGCCACCACCACCTCTGCCGATATCGACAAGGCCGTCATAACGCTACGGCATCCGAGGCCCCAGGTCCCTAAGCCGCGCCTTGGGCGAGCCATGATCCTGCCTACATTCTGTCTCATCATCATGATGGGTGCTGTGACAGCGGGCACGTTGTATGGCGGCCACTTGCAGCAGGCTGCGGGTAGTGCGTATTCTGAGGATATATCAGACGGCGCCAGAGGTCCGATGGTGGGGGCGGCGGCGAATAAATTATCAGCTGTAGCTGATGAGGAGGAACCAGACATCGAGGAGATGTCCTACCGGGGCGAGCCAAAGGAGGCTGCGAACCCATACCCCAATCCGATTGTCGTACCGCCCCTCCAGGGCTATAAGTACGACATCGCGCTTAGCACGGGGTACCGGTGAGTGTCCTTCCACTTGTGTTCGTACGGAGAGCCTCATCCGCATCTGCGTGTGCCTGATTAGGATCGCATGTGTCTGGCGGCCAGGCGGGACGGTTGGGGTGATCCGCGCGCGACGTCAGCGGTCATACCAAGTGGGCGGATTGACTGAAATGGCGGCGATAATGGGCGCAAAGGGCTGTCCGCACCTCAGCGACTGGTCCTGCCAGCGAGTCTCTCCGGCCCAAGCCGCGAAAGAGGGATCTGCCGCTGTTCCCCAACCGATGGCCCAATAATGCCCACCATGCTTGCTGGATTAGACGTGCATCATAACGATATGCAGCTAATCCCAAGTGGGGTATCTTAACCTCCACACAATCCTCAACCTCCGCCGCCCTCTTCTCCTCTACCTATGCCCCGACGTGCAACGCAAACCGCAGGTCCCTGTACGGCGCCACTTTCGCCTCCTGCCTCGTGGGCCTGATGGCGTCCGGGGCCATGCTACACGCCAGGGCGCTGCACCTGCTGCTGAGCGACGCAAAACTGCTGAACATGAGCCTGCTGCACAATCTGGCGCACATGGGCACGAATGTGCGGGTTAGCCTGTACGACGTCACGGGAGCGTCAAACTCCATGCGCGCGCGCAACACATTTTACCAGTTGAGAGCCCGGACGGCGAAATTGGCTAGCATGAAGCTTCTGGGTGGCAGCACAGTCGGCATGGAGGACGTGGGAAACGGAAAACCTGCTTATCGCCGATTGACCGGCAGACTGGCGCCTAGGAGGGCAGGGTTACTTGATGTAACCTCAAGTGCCTGTCAAGTCCGGCCATTCAAGTAAAAAGTAGTTGCATCTATTATCATGAACTCCTACCCCAGCGCTGTATCTAGGCACCGGCACCTAGTTCCCACGTTCCTAACACTTCGTGTTGCGCTGGTGTTACTTTCACACCAGCTTCATAGCTCACGTACGGAATCTGGACTGTAACCGCTACACTGAACTTGCTCTGCACCCAGATGCACCCAGATATGAGTCCATTCTTCGGTGTTTACCCCCCCAGGCTGCTGCGCGTGCCGGACCTGCTGCCTGGCGGCCAGTACGGCAGTACCCCCGCATCCAACCCCGCACACCGCCAGCTAGCTGCGGATGCGGGGCTGGGGCCGGGGCCGGGGCCGGGTGCTGGTGCGACGGGCAGTGCTGTGGCGCTCGGTGGGAGCGACCTGCCGTCCGTGTTTCTTGAGGACGACGTGTGGCCGGTGGACGACTTCCCTCGAAAGGTGAGCATGGATAGGTGTATCATGGTATAATGGAGGGGAGGGGAGGGGAGGGCAGCAGGCAGCACCACGCCGTCACCCATACAAATGGAAGCGCGCTAACCGGAGGAGGGGAGGGAGGAGGAGGGAGGAGGGAGGGCCTGCCACCCGCCCATCACATTTGTCACAAGCGAACGGCACCAATTCGGCTCGACTTACCTTGACTACGGCTCATCTAAACACACTTCTTACGAACCTCGTCCCGCCCCTGCCCGCCCGTGTGAACCCGGACCCCAGATGCACTTGGTCGCCTCCCTTGCGGCCGTTAGGACGGGTGGATTGCCTTTCGTCATCAAGCTCTACCTCCATTCTGGCACGTACGGCTACCCGGCAGTGATTCGCGCAGAGCACGCCAAGACCTGTAACGTGACTGTGACCCAGTTTCCCATCCCCGAACACCCGGAGGGCAACAGCGACTTCAAGCCTGCTTTCAAGGGCGCCGTTGAGGGCGGCCCCGGGGCTGTGCTGGTGACTGCTTTTCCAAGGAGCAGTGGCAGTAGTGGCGATGCCGGGAACAGCACCGATACCGGCGGCAGCACCGGCAGCGGTGACGGAGACCCATCGCTGAGTGGTTACAGGCCCATTCCGCGCATTTACAAGTGGGGGGCACAGGGTCTGTACTTTTCCGATGGGCTCACGAGGCGGCGCCTGGCGGACTGCTACCTGCACTACACCGCCCGGTCCTTCGAGAAGCAGCGGCGGTATAAAGTGGGTTCCGCAATACTCCATTGCCCTGCGGCTGTTGGTGTGACGTGGGTGATCTGGCTGTCAAGAGGTTGCGGTAGGACGGGTTGCAGTGCGGTTTTCTTGGCTATCTGTCCTTGGTTGCACGCGTGTGATGACTGAACGAAGAGGAAGTACGCGACATGCAATCACGCCGGAGTTCGGACCGCCACCACCACCACCAGCTCTATTAGGAGAACCCTTTTCATCTTTTCTCTTGCCTCCTCTCCTCCTTCGCCTTTATACGGCTCCCCGCCCCACGCGCCGCCCCATACGCTGACACCACACCGCCACCGCGCTGATGCTACAAGCTACCTACAAGCCTCTACTGCCACTGCGGCCGCAGGATTGGCCACTCAAAATGTGCCTCGCCGACCTCAATATTAATGTGTACGACAGTGGCCGGTCTCTGGTGCAGCATATCGGGGCCGCCAGCAGCCTGTTTGGAGACGCAAGCACGAACTCACGCTACCACCGGGCTTGCAGCTTCCCATTCTTGGAGAAGCTCCCATCCGAAGATGAACAGAGTGACTGGCATTGAGTGATCCAAAACCACTGCCCGCATCGGCAAATGCATTTGCATGTCAGTTGTGTTGAACGGGTGGTACGGCAGGGTAGCTTATTGCCTTGGTTGCGCCGTCGTCTTGTGGAAGGGATCGGACTTAATCCCCAACTGCACCTGGGAATTTGAGCACCAACTTCCAAGTCGATATATGCGTGTGTATATATGCGTATTGATTCCTGCGGTTGCGGTTGTACCTATAGCTGGCATGCACGTGCCCAGCTTTGGATAAGGACTTTTCACGAGCCTTCATCTTGATGCTCTTCCAAGTTCTGCGTGTGCACAGGACGTTCTTAAAATTGGAAAGGGAGTGATAGGCGGGGGGGATATGAAGTTTGAATTCCTTAAAGCGTTACATGCGACCAGCAGGTTAGTTGCTTATCGATGCGTTTGCTTAACAGGCCATGCCTGTAGGATTCAGTGCAGATGGGTATTGCAGAAGGGTGTTAAACCGATGCCTCGAAGGAGTATTTGGTCGAAGTGTATCACGCATTCTGACTTCTCGGCTGCGATAGGACCGTACGAGAACATACGTCTGCAATTCCACTGTTTTTCACTTGCGTAGGAAAGACATCTCGCATCTTCGCACTTTGACGGATATTTGAGGGCATGCACCTAACCATGAAAGTGCCGTATAACGTGGACAGCGTGGATTATCGATCGAATTGCTATTGCACGGGGTGTACGGCAGCCGCCCAACCGTGTGCAGCTGCCAGCAAAACTGATGGTCGAGCGTCTGGCAATAATCTCAAAGGCCTCTGTAAACGCCTTGTCTGTTTGGTTTGTCTCTCTGTCTGTCTGCCGAAGTGTGCCGGAGTGGTGTGGGCCATATACCCGGCACTCAGCCGCCGATCAGTTCGACAGCCCCATCTGCCCGCCTATCTGTGTGCCCTTATGTTAAGCGCTCGTTCGCCAAGCGCATCACCCCATGGGACTGTTGTACTGATCGTTGGGTGAGTGCCGGGTATCTGGCCCATGCCACTCCGGCACACTACTTGGACTTCGGCGCCATGATGGATGAATGCTATCGTAAGGCGCGTGTGTATGTAAGGTACACCGACGAAGAAACTAGCCCCATTCATCTAGCCTGCAAGCGACCCCGGAGCACGTTCGCATGACACATCCAAACAGGACGCGGACGCATCACACAGCACATACATACACACGTACACCACTGCTGCAATCCAGAGGTGACCACACCGCATTACGGCTGAGGCTCATCAACACCATGGATCACACGCGAGCCGCAGATGCCTTTAACAACCTGTGCTAGTCTTTCAGCCCAAGCGACCGCGCTTTGTTACCACCGGCGCCTGGTCATTAATGAATTGAGTGATGAATATTGATGAATTGCGTCGCATAAAATCACCGTCGCCGACCTCACCTTCTCAAAAATCTCTACAGGCCAGGTAAGGCCTGAGGAGGTTTACTGTACACAGGCCCACCTAGACACCTCTTGAGGCAATCAGATTGCTAAACCCCTGATTGCAATCAGAGGGTCAGTACCCGCCCTGTCACTTGCGTGTGTGTAAGACGGGGCCCGAGGATCGGCCGGGCGTGGTGTGCTCCGGGTGGCGCTGCTGATGCCGAGACTGGGTTCCGCTGCGTGCGTGGCTTCGGCCCGGTGCCGAGCCTTGCACCCTGCAGCCAGGCGACATGCGACATGCACCACACGCTACATCCTCTCATGTTGCTTGCCGCGGTGGTCTGCCTGGCTCTCTCGCCGTCGCCGACGGAAGAAGGACCTCATCAGCTCCGCGCATTCGTCCGCCCGGCAACCCCCTTCCACCTGAACAGTGGTGTGGAAGGGATGCGGCTGCGGTTGCCCCGGCAACAGCTCTGTATGTGCGTCTTCATCTGCCGGCTTCACTGCCGAAGGTTTATCGGAAGGGGACACATCGTCACCATCGCTGGCTTTTTCAGCTCCATTTCGATCCTGCTGTCTTGCTGTACCAGATACAACGGAAGGCGCCGTGCCGTCGTGATGTAACGGATCCGTGTGAGGCAAAGCAATGCCATCACACCTTTCATTACGCCTGCTGCAACCATTGTTATTGCTGCTGCTGCTGCCGGTGTTGTTGTTGATGCTGCAGCTGTACGTGCACGAATCCTGAAGCCCGTATCCGCCGTCGTCTCCGTGGCTGTCATCCGCACCATTAATACTGGGCGCCCCACGACCAGGACCCACAGCACGAGCTCCCTGCTGCTGCTGCATGTCGGAGGCCGAGCGCGGAGGAAATAGCTGAATCCAGCTGCCGTCAGCGCCTAACCTTGGCTGCCGCGCACCGTACACCACTCGCGCTATACGAGCCTGTAAGATTGCTCCTGCACACATGGGGCAAGGTTCCAAAGTGGCGTACAGAGTGGCGCCCAGCAACCGCCAGGAACTCAATTTGCTTGCCCCGGCCGTTATGCACAGCATCTCGGCGTGCGCCACGGGGCTACGAAGCCTGTGAACCCGATTGTGGCCGCGTGCCAGAATGCGGTCGCCATGCACCAGGACCGCACCCACGGGAACTTCGCCCTCGGCTGCTGCGGCGCGCGCCTCATCGAGCGCCATGCCCATATAGTGCACGTCGGCGGCGCTGAACTCCTGTACTAGAGTCGGTGCGAAGACTGCAGTGGTAGCTGTAATGGACGGTGTGGAGCAGCGGCTGGACGTTTTGACGGTATGCAGGCGAACCTCTCGCTGGAGGTGCAGGACGGATGTTGCGTGCGGCGCCCGGGTTCGAGGTGGAAGATAAGCCCTCGATACCGTCAGCATTTGGTAGGAGCGTGATACACTGTTCGCAACACGTGTACAATCCCTACATGGATTTTAGGGTTGGAACACAAAAATTCAAGCTATACAAGGTACATCGTTGGCCAAGGCCATAATTGGCAAGTACGCGGAGGCTTCGACTTAGGATGTAAGATTGATTACAATGCACATATTTCCCCATAAGATTTGGTTTAGCATTTTCCAATTACAGTTGGGCCCCACCCTGGAGGGCCCAACGCGTGCCCGGGCTATACTGCACACTCTGCTTACACAGCCCTCTCTCTTCCGCAGTTAGCGTATAGAAAGGCTGCCAAAATGGCGACGCAGGTACATTGCAGGATAACTTGCTGGCTTTGCCGCCCAAAACACATGCTGACGGCTTTCGGTCTTTGTTGCTGCTACGCATACAACTTCAATTGTGTGGAGGATAGTCGGTGCAGACTTTCGGCCGCAAGGTATGATTTTACATTAAGTTTTGCACTAAAGCCAGGGCCCTTGCGGCGGCCGACCATACGGAGCAAACAAGTTGCACACCCTGAATATTGTTTCTGGTTCCTTTCATTTCTGTAGAAGACAGCCGTGGCCGTGGCGTACTGCAAGCAGGGCAACGGTCTCATTAAGCTCAATGGTAAGCATCACGCCTATGTTGGCCAGGGTACCCATCAAAGTGTTGGGACGTGTATCTGCATATGAGGTATACAGCTTGAATTCATAGCAACGTCAAACTCGCAGCGGCGGCTGTCACAACAGGGCGGCTGATGCTAAGGGCAGGACGTTACGCAGGATAGCAGCATATAGGCCAAACACTGCGGGTGAACCGATTAGTGCTATTCGTAGGCTATGGCTACCTGGGCAGCTCTCTTGTTTCGCATCGTTTGCGTGAGCCTCGACGTGTATGCACGCTATGTTCTCCGGACAGTGTTCTTCCGCAGCAGAACTTTGTGCCCTATGGCACAGCTGGGAATGCGATTGCAACAAGGGGTCAACGGCTTCCGTGTTCATTGTGAAATCCCATGGGTTGTTGCAAAGAACAGGGTATGCATACCATGCAACAGGGGACTGTGCAAACCCAGCTGCTCCACGTGGTGTTAGCAATTTGCGGAGTTGCACGGTCTTCGGTACCTGTTGTACCTTGAGTCGTCTTCGCTGTGCCTAGCTTCATCTCCCATCCTTGCAGCCCCTGTTTTGCGGCTATGGCGTACGATGCTCACGCGGCCTTGAGGACTGCTTCCATGCCACCTAAACTTCTTGCGCACTTTCGCCCTACTTGTTGCTATCCGTAGGCCAGCCCTTGGAGCTGGTGAAGCCTGAGGCTCTGCGCTTCAAGGTCTTTGAGCCTATCCTGGTGATTGGCCGCCAGAAGGTCAAGAACCTGGACATCCGCCTGCGCGTCAAGGGTGGCGGTCACGTTTCGCAGATCTACGGTGCGTGACAGCTTCTTGGGTCGCATCATGGGCGCAATGAATGGGCACCTGGGGATTTGCTCGGTGGATTGCTGCCCACGGTAGTTGGCTCTATGAAGCGGCTCAGGCGGCTGTATGGGTGCCATACGTTTGGAGGCTTCACTTTTGGGATCACAGCGGCGACTGGCAAGGGCAGCTGACATAGGCAGCGCACATACTTGCCACTTCTTCACGTCAGCATGACAACCAGCCGCTGGTGATCTTTATCTTGGATGTGCTGTGATGTATCTTGAAACACGGACAATTCCAGTCAACGAGATGTTCAAGATGGCAGGGGCCCCTCGGCCAACCATCCCATGTGTCCGCAGTAGTTCAGCAGCAGCGGTCGATGAGAAGCACAGCCCATACTCCTGGATGGCTGTGCCTCGCGAAGGGTGTTGCCACATCCCGAGGATTTTTGCAGTTTTGCAGGACACTTAGCTCGCTATCATTATCCTGGGTGGGTTGAGTCAAGAAAGACGCATCGCCAGTTGAAAGGCTGAAAGCGCTGTAAAGCCGCAGCTGGTTACCCTGGTTGTCCAGAACAGACGCGACTTCATGCCCCACAAGACATGCGTCGTGAAAACACCAATTTGAATGTATCAGTAACGTTGTCCTCTATTGTTGTGGTCATAATGCAAATAACGCGTATTTTGGTCGAGTGGTTCACGTTGGATCCAGTGGAGCGTCTCAAGTCCGCGCTGGAGTTATTTGGCTAGAGTCTTCGTGTCTCCGGGTGGATGGATTTCTGGATGCCTTGGCAGCGTCAATTTAACTGGTGCACAACTGTTGCCAGTAGTGTTGTCACAACAGTGAACATGCCTTCTGGGAAGCTTGCATGGGTGAAGCGACTAACAGATCGTCTGCACTCATTGCTTCCTGAATGTGCATTTTTTCTGTGCAGCTCTGCGCCAGGCTATTGCCAAGGCTGTGGTTGCCTTCTACCAGAAGTACGTGGACGAGCAGAGCAAGCAGCAGATTAAGGATGCCCTTCTTCAGTTCGACAGGACGCTGCTGGTGGCTGACCCCCGCCGCTGCGAGCCCAAGAAGTGAGTTGGCAACTGTAGTAGGGGTCCAAATCAACCAAAAGGAGTGGGTCGAGCTGTTGTGGCATCGTGCAATATGGCTCGGGGGGCCTGTCTTATCTAAAGACAGAGCCTTCACATCGGGTGAAATGTCTCACCACGTAACAGCAGGAGAACATTCATTGTATGGGCGCAGATGCATATCTGCCCTGCATGGGGAAAATCATGCCATTTAGGTTAATGCATCTGCTCTAATTTAATTCTTTTGCTGTTGTTCATGGGAGATGGGCAATCTGCTGCGCAGTTAATGGGATGGCTTCTCTCGTATTAGATTGGCGTTTTAGGTGTATTGTTGTGTTGTGGGTGCTTCGCTGGTGGTCAGGACCTATCTGTGTTACATTAACCTCTTGTCGTGACGTTCTCCTTAACCCCCTGCAGGTTCGGTGGTCGTGGTGCTCGCGCTCGGTTCCAGAAGTCTTACCGTTAAGCGGTATGGCTCTGCAGCCGTGGGTGGCATGCACGGGATCCCCAAGGTATCACTGCGTGGTTGGAAACCCGCGGCCTGGGGGCGACGTACTAGCGGTGTCTGGGTTATTCCCGTAGGCCCCTGGCGTGGCTGGTGGCCGTGGCGTTGTGGCTGTACCATGTGGCTGCCTGAGCCAGTGCGGCGCAGGGCGGCCAGTGCACGGTGTTTCTCGCGGTCAGCCAGGGAGAGTGGTGTTCGTCTGGACGCCGCAGTCCAGTTGTAACGAAAGAAAAGACCGTGCATATGTTTGTCGTTTTGTGCCTGTGCTTTTGGGCAATAACGCAGCTGCTATGTAATGAAATGAAGCCGGCGCTGCAGCGGTCTTGCATGGGAAGGCCAGCCCATGTTCGGATACAAAAGGTGTTTTCAGCCTCCCAGGATGACATGTTGCTATGCATCTCTCAAGAAGAATGCGTTGGACAGCGCGGCAGCGAACACAGGACTAACCCCCAAAAAGTATGTAGACGATGCTAGAAAGTGTGGCGCAAAAGTACATCGGCTAATTGCATAATCCCCAATATAGGAACATAGCGTTGTATACATTACTCGAGCCCACTTTGATAGACGCAATGCTCCCTACAGGCGAGTCCCGTGGTTCATTAAAAAGAGAGCCCCCCCTAAAAGAGTCCCAACTTCACAAATTCACATCTTGCGTATATAATGCTGTCATACAAGGCATCGCGTCGGGATTAACGTTTCTATGTAAAGTATTATATACTTAAAAATTTCCTAATTTGTTTCAACGCGATAGTCTCGCGCAGCGCAGCGGCAGAAGCACATAAACATCAGCAGAGTGAGGGAGCGTATTATTAATACTAGATTGGAGCCGGTTCCTACATTCTTCCGGAGCGCAGTACGACCACTAAACCGAGATCTCGGCCCACTTAACGTGATTGCGATCCATTTCTTTCAAGTGCTGATTACTGTTGCCTTTTCGATCACTAGGATTGTGCGGCACAGGCACTCTTAGGTATCTCCTTCCGGCATTTTCGCTTTACACAGGTGAGTGCTTAGCCTCTATTTTATCCCTTCGGTGCTCCATCGCAGGATGTTTACTGATGAAGGTCTCCTTATCTTGCCCAGATATTGCGTTGCGTGGACTTTCGGTTCAAAAAACAAAGCTACCAATGAGAGGCTTCTCTAGGAAAACCCGTTCACTTGCATCAGAGTACCAATAGAAATCTCTGCGTCGTTCTAACAGAGTGGCTGATCTTTAATGGATCCCCGGAAGTTCTGCATGTTTTGCTTTTCAACGTGCGATGGAACGCCGCTTTGGTTTGGACGTGTTTTGTTATTGATGACCTTAATATCGGATAAATGACTAGAAAATTCAGATTTCTTGCCTTCGCTGCATTAATCCCGCAGACGCGTAAAGATGCTGGCTGCCAAGACGTGCCCCACCGTGTCTACCCGCGCTGCTGGAGCGCGTTTTGGCCGCCGTCCGGTTGTTCCAGTTCAGCGCCGCCAGGTTGCCGCTGCTGCTTTTGACGACACCAACCTCTTTCTTAACATCCTCGGCAGCGGTCTAGCGGGCGCTGCTGTTGCCGCTGTCACCACCTTCACCTCTGAGAACAAGGACAAGGAGATTGAGCGCATCCAGACGCTGGACGGTGCTCTGCCCATCGGTGCCGCTGTCGCCGTGGATGCCATCGCGCATTCCATTCCTGGCCTGAACATTCTGTTCGGCCTGCTGGCGGAGCCAGTGGGCGCCGCGGCAGGCGTCGCTTACATGATGACCCTGATTCTGTCAGCCCCCTCGGTCGACCCCAACACTCTGGCGCCGGAGGGCACTGTGCTGAACGCCAAGAAGGCCACCGACAGCCGCGCTGCGTTGCGTGTCCCCTTCACGCGTCTCATCCCCACCGCCCTCAAGGTCGTCGATACCACGAACGATGCCAGCAGCGGCGCCGGCTGGACCATTGGGGAAAACGGCCTGCCAAAGCTGCCAATTAACTCGGTCCTCATCGTGCTGGGTGTCGGTGGCCTGATTCTGGAATCGGCGGCCCACGCTCCCGTCATGTCGTTCTTCCTGCCGCGCGTTCTGACAGTGGCTGCCTGGTACGCTGGCGCCGGCTACTTCCTCGACAAGCGCGAGTGAATGGTTGCTGTTGCCAAGGAGGTGATATAGGCGTTTAATTGAAATTTAAGGATTGAGCTACTTTTGATTATATATCGTTTTTTATATTGGGGCTCGGACAGGTGTAAGGTCATGTCTTTCCATTCCATGCCTCGAAATGATTTGCTGGTCCTTCAGTGGGTGTCTGGGTTCAGGGTCAAGTAGGTCACGTGAAGCCTTGTGCCGTTTATGCATGTTGACGTTTGGTTTGAGGGATCATACGAACTTAAATACAGAGGATTTTGGTGAGGATGTGGAAGATAGGGAAGGCACCTGCTTGTCGCCCGAACATCAGGAGATAATGTTTGTAGCGCCTTGCGTGGTGATTTCAGCTTCAGTTATGGAGGGGTTTTGTGTGGTCGCTCTCCACTGATATGTCCGATTTCGTGGATCTAGTGAGGATTTCACTAGCTGCAGGAAAATGAAGCGGATGGTTCCTTTGTTAGACATGCGCGTATGCTGTACGTATTGCAAAAAGCAGCAGACGATTAACAACCTGCGCTTATGGTTCGGACCGTGGATTGCGTTCCCCTTTATTGACGGTGGCAGCGCTCTGGGGCCATAGGGGAGGCCGGTCACTTGCTGCACGGAGGGATGACGGAAGTTGCAGCCAATAGCGGGGCGGCAACCAGGGGCTCATATATAAATGGCCATTGAACGAATTAAATAAAATGCATGCCGTTTCTGGGCAATTCCATTAACAGTGTAAGGACAGTTTTGATGACACAAGGGTCGATTAGTCCATGGATGGTTGATGACGGTATTTTTTCCCTGAGCAACGGCCGGCATCGCCATTGACGTCAAATTTGGCGTGCAGTTGTGGTCAATCACAGCTAAGGACTGTACACATGCTGGATTTCTTTCGCTGAGATGTAACAGAATACGCTAAAGCGCCCGGTGGAAACCGGTGGAGCATCCGCCTGTAGCGGCAGAACCGCAATATAGCACGGTTGTCCATACTACACACTGTCACATATCTAATATTATGAGCCCTATTACACCCGATATGCTGTCACTGGCTCCAACGCGACAGCAGTATGAACTGTACGTGAACTCAGAGCCTCGAACCTTGTCGTCACAGTTAGTACGTGACGAAGTTACAACACTACACGCCACACTCAACAGAAACTACCATTAGATCTGCTGTATTAACGCATGAAAAACACTCTTGTCACCTTCCGATCACAAAATGTCTCATGTCTCTGTTCTTTTCCACTACCAACAGCCAGTGTCTGCGTAAGCTACGCGCTACGCTACACCAGCACGCCTGCAGTCAGTCTGCCGCTGCTGCACGACACGTGCGATGTTCTCTCTGGCAGTGACAGTGCAAGTGCGGTGAGGATCAAGCACAAACCCAAATCAGCCCTCCTATTCCCCTCCCTGGGTATGAACGGAAATGCATACTCATCGCCGTCGTTCGCGCTTCCACACAAAGACCTTGCCAGTCGTCTTGGGATCCATGCCCGCTTCTTTAATCTCCTTAGCGCGCAGCTTGCGTTTCCGACCTTTGCACATGACTAGCTTTTCGTACGCAAGGTGCTCCGCGGTGGCCGCCACCCTGTTTCGCCGCTCCAGCCGCTGCGCTAGCTCCTTATACGCCGCATACTTCCGCCTGCAAACAGCGGCAAGGAGTGTGCATGTGGCAATGTTCGCTCAGGCAACACATGGCCACAAGCATGAGCGCGTCAGGCCTGTGCGCACTCGCATTCAGATGGCCAAGCTGCTGGAAGGATACAAACCTGGTGGCGCTCCAAACATTGGCCGCCTGTGCATCAGGACCACTGCTCTGCAACGACGCAGCAGCCAGCAGCCCCCGCCACAACCGCATGCCCCAAGCTGTCAACCTCGTTTCCCACCCAAACACTCATCCGGGACCCCTTTCCCAGGGTTCTTTCGCACTCAAAGCTCAGGCCTACCGCGCGCGTAAGTTCCCATGAATTCCACCACGCACATGGGCAAAGCCAGGATATGAGTCCGGTTGCGTGCGGGTACTCCGCTCCATTGCCCACGCGCCCTAAGGTGTCACCTGCCACCTTCCCAACCCTTGACAACCCACTTTTCAACTCCCTTGTTGCTAGTTCCCAGCATCGCCTTCGGGTCAGCCAGCTGAGCGGAGCGTGGCCGGTTGAAGGTGCGGTCCAGTAGCTCCGCCGGCGTATCGAAGTACTCCGCCGGGTTGAACCGAGCTGCCTCTTCCTCGCTGTCCACGAACACCGTGTGCCGTGGCGCTGGTCCTGCTGCCGCTGCCGCCGGCCCTGCGGAGCCGTTGCTGCCGCGCTTTGCAGCCGCAGCGGCCGGCTGCGCTGCGGTCACACCAATAAAGTGCAAAGACTCCCTTAACCTTGCCGCCTTGTTGGCCTCCGTGGTGGCCTTCATGGACAAGTACTTGACATCCTGCGTCTTCATCAGCCGAAGCTCCTCCTGGCTGTACTTGTTGGCCTGGGTCAGCCTGAGAGGCAGACGGGAGGGAAGGGAAGAGGGGAGGAGCCATAAGCCAAGGGCAAATCCCTGACACCCAAGGCACCGCCTGCTGGAGGTTGAAGCAAAGAGGCAAACTGCCCGAAGCTCAGGACGCTTAGCCCAAGGAAAAACACAGAGGTAAATGGGGAGCGGAAAAGGGTTCCTAACTACACAGGTCGCGAGTTTTAGGATAGGAGCCATACAGAATGAGAAGGCATGAAAATAGCATGGCAAACCAGGACATGGTTCACGCAGACATGAGGGGGGCTCCATAGCTGAGGGACGCGGAAAACTTGAGCAACCATGTGTTTCCAGCTTTAGGCAGTAAAAGCCAGCGGAGACATGATTACGCAGTATGTAAATGAAGCCACCAGGTGCCCCCGCATTATGCACAGCCCGCATTCGCACTGCAGCGACACCACAGGCAAGCCGCCTCGCCACACCTGCCGTCATGGACGCCGTCCTTGGTCCGGGCCTTTTCCATGGCGAAGTAAAACTCATCGGGGTTCCGCTCCTCCGCCTTGCGCTTGAGAGTCTGCATGGCGTTAGGGTAGGGTAGGGTGGTGTTGGCTTGAGCCGGGGGCCGACGGAACCGCAGGGCAAGAAGAAAAAACACTGCTGACAAACACACATGATGAGAAACAACCTAAATTATGTACACTTCAGGAAGGCGGTGAAGATGGGTGCCATGCCAACCTGACGTGGTAGCTGACAGCCACCACAGACAGCCCATGCGGTCCCCTTTCAGCACGGAGCCCTTCACGGCAGAAAGACGTGGACATAGAGCAATTGGTTCACGAGAAATGGGGACACAGTATTCGCTCTGTCACCTTGAGGATCTTCTCCTTTTTGTGGAAATTTTTCGCGCGCTCCACATAGTCCTTGTGCTTTTCAAGCAAGCCATACTTCTTCCGTGCAGCCCTGTTCAGAGGTGTGCGTGCGGAGCCGCGGGAATTGGGCGGGGAGGACTACGCTTAGGCGAACGAGTGTGTTGGGGGAGGAAATGGGTGGAAAGGGAAGTCATGTCCGTTAGCCCCACTGAACGCAGGCCTGCCGTAACTACAACGTGTGTGTGCGACCCGGCCTTGAGGCTCTACCGCAGCGCCCGACCCGTGAGCCAGTCCATCCTTTGGCGTGCTTCACCCCAAAACTTACGGCTGTGAGCGCTCCTTATGCGTCTTGCGCTTGATTGCATTCGCGAGGGCTGTCATTTTCTTCTATGGCCTGGCCCACAAGGGGCCGCCAGCTGTTTGAATTATAGGACACAAAAAGAAGTTCAAAATTTTCGGTAAGCAAGAAGATACCGCAGAAATGAACACTGGAATTTGTAGGGTCGAAATGCGGCTCAACGAGACAGCAAGCTTCTGTTAAGGGTTTTATAAGAGATAACCTTTCCAGCAATAGTGAATTCTAGCAAAATCTATGTTTGGGGTAGCGCAACGTAGAGAGGCCGAGGGCAATATGCGCAAACATATTGCAAACTATCAGCAGAATAACATTACAATATACAGCCCTACGGAAAACAGATAACAAGCCTAAGACGGGGCTCCGGAAAGGTTTGAAGCGCACCAGAAATGTCGTACGCCGCCGATTTAGTTGGTTTCAAGGTACCACTCTGTTACAACTTGCACACATATCACATATGCAACCCTGATTGGGCAGACGACATCAGGTGCCAAGCTTTGTTATTCAACTGTGCCATTATTATTTCTTACTTGCACGGTTGTTGCCATGTCAAGCCCTGTCCTTAAGGCACTCGTGGCTGCAAGACAGAAATGCCTGACGGAGGTAGGATCGCAAGTGAACCGAAATATACCACCTGCCCAGGAAACACGACAGGACACTGCGCTGCTCGAGCATACAGCAAGGTGCCTCTGCACAACCGGCCCCGAAACCTGCTCTTCCGATAGAACCTACCCACTCAACATGCTGTCCCAAAATCTCAACTCCTGTTAAGGAGGATCCTGCTAAGCACAAATGTCTTCTCCAGAGATAATTCAGGCCTCTAAACTATCCTGGGGCCGTGGTACCCCTTGACGCTCTCTCCGCTCCCTTCCCGCCACTCCAGGACGAGGCCTACTGGGACCCTAAGCCAGACTTCACACGGCCCGTCAGCGCCCGCAACGAGGCGGCTGCACTGTCCTGGATGTTGGACCACCAAGCAGGTGGGGCCCAGGAGAGAAGGAAAAACCTTAGCCCAACGGCGCGACAGCCAGACAGACAACTTTCCAAATACCCCCTGCTATAGACAGCCGCACTGCGTGGGAGCTCTAACCATGTATCCATCAAGCCCGTTGATACAAATGTGCGCCAAAGATTTAATCCTTAACACGCGTTTTCTGCCGTATATGCCGTAATAACCGCCAACCCTAACTTCCAAGCCTAAGTGTATATCTCCGTATGTTGAATTCGTGGCTGTGTCGCTCTCCCACCTCCCTCGCCACACACCGCCACACACAGCGGTATGCCGCGGCGGTCCTGCTGATGTGGCCGAGTTGAGGGCCTTATGCGCTAACTACTGCGTTCGCCTGGGAGCCGCAACCCCGCCGGAGCAGCAAGCAGAAGAGCAAGGGGGCGAGGAGAAGGCCACGGCGGCGGCGGCGGATTCGGAGCCAGCCGATGCAGGGCCAGACGGTGCCGTACATGGGACTGCTGGAGAAGCTGCGGTCGGGTCTGGGCCAGAGGCTGCAGCTCGAGGCGGTCTGACGTCCTCCTCCTCCGGTCGCAGCTTTGGAGCCGGGTCTGTCGAGGAGGCGCTGCAAAGGTGAGGAAAGAAAGTAACCTATCAGTTAGTGAACAGCAGTTACTGAACAGCAGTTTGTGGATAGCAGTTAGTGGATAGCAGTTACTGAACAGCAGTTAGTGGATAGCAGTAGCAGCAGTAGTGGGAAGGGAAGTGGGGGGAGGGGGAAACCCTCAGTCCGGGATCTCACCGCAGCTGGGAGCTGGGGTACGGTAACCTTCGTGCCTTCGTGCCGCCATTCCCCCGACCCTTTTTTCACCCTTTCACCCCGCTCGGACATGCACACGAACACGCTCCCGTCAGCCACTCAGTTGGAAGTTAGTGCTCTAGGATATTATTTTATAATACTGAATCCAGCCAGTCCGGCATCCAAATCTGCGTCCAAATGCAGGTGGTGCACGCAACGGGGAGTCCGCGGGGCGGCCTCTCCGGCGCTCTTTGGTAGGGGCGGAGGCCAACGTGGAGGCGGGTCGAGTTCGGGGACAGCCGCCCAGCCGCCGCCGCCTCTGCGCGGCCTGCGGGCGGACACGGCGGTGGCTCCGGGCGATGTCGTACTGCACGTGCCCGCTGACCTGCTCATATCGTACGAGACCGCCAAAAAGTCGGATCTGGTACGGACTTCGGGTCGCTTACCTGGGTCATACATACATACATACATATATACATACATACATACATACATACATACATACATACATACATACATACATACATACATACATACATACATACACACTCGAATTACACATCCCTACATTGACCCCCCCCCAGGGCAAGGTGCTGTCCGCACTGCCCCTGGATCTCAGCGATGACAGCATCGCCCTCATCTGGACGTGTGTGGAGCGACACGAACCCGAGGCCCCACACGCGCCCTTCTGGGCGGCGCTGCCGCACAGCTTCTCCACGGGTGAGGTCCCATGAGGGGAGTGACGACATGTGTTCCAGGGGCCCCCATTGGTCAGTTCTGCTTCCTGTACATCTGCCGCAGAACTCTTTCCTTGGCAGCAGCTTCACTCGCTCATGGTTCGTCTTTCCCCCCTTCACGCCCATATACGCAGCAGCACATTTCATCCTGTGGGTTGCGGTGTCTGGGATGAGAGCGGTAGTTGGCTGGATTCCCTCCACGTCTCAGCCGCCCGCGACCCCCCTGCTGCACCCTGCTGCACGAGCCCCCTGCGCCACCCATTCGTCGTATTTCGCTTCCTCACCCCCCTCCTCGTCCCGTGTTCACTCTTCCCCCCGCCCCTTCCCCCCCCCTCTGACCTCTCCAGCTCTCAGTGCCAGCCAGGAGGACGTGGCTCTGTTAGAGGGTACGCCGCTGCACGGCGACGCGGTCAGGGCGAGGCAGGTGGGGGGTCGGGGGGGGGAGGGAGGCGCTGGTGGGGGCCGGGACGTGAGGTATGTATGTATGTCGCTTGTGCTGCTTAAAGTCCGGGGTGCTGGCTTGCGACAAGCAAGTGGAGAGGGGGGTATGTGGCAGCAGCTGCTCGCAGGGGTACATACATACTTACAGACGCACATTGGGAGCTTGGGGATGTGTATGAATGGGAGACAGCCCATCACGCCCCTGACGCCCCCTCCGTAGTGCCCCCTCGGCCAGTCCTTCTTAACCCCGACGCAACCCAACCCACCTCAATCCGCAGCACCTCAGTGAGGCCTTCGAATCTTCCTCTCCCGCCTTCCGGTCCCTGCTGGGCGCTTATCCGGACTACTTCAAACCTGAGTGGTTCAGTTGGGAGTCGTACCTGTGGGCAGCGGAGCTGTGGTACTCGTACGGTATTCAGGTGTGTACGAAAGTACGACAGTTGTACGACATGTCATGACGTGATCGGGTAACGTTTCCGAAGCCTGGAACAACGGTGTTGCCCTTGACGAAGCAGTAGCAATACTGGTAACATTAACAACAGCAGCAGCCGCAGTAGAAATAGCAGTAGCAGTAGAAATAGCAGTAGCAGTAGAAATAGCAGTAGCAGTAGCAGGAGACCTTACGCAGTAGCCCGATGGCATTCTCCCAGTAACGCCTCGCTGTCATTCGTTTTCACAGGTTCAGTTCGCAAGTGGCGACATCCGCACTTGTCTGGCTCCGTATCTGGGCCTTATGAACCACCACCCCCTGCCCCATGTGGTGCACTTCAGTAAAGTGGACCCCGAGACCGGATGCCTCAGGTGGGTATGGAAGTCTGTATGTATGTACATCTGCCTGTCTGTCTATCTGTCCGTTTGTTTGTTGCCATGGATGCCGCTGCCATCACCTGATTGTGCCGAGGGGGCTGATAGGGGCCAGTACGGTAGATTGTGTTCCGTAAAAGACCACCACCACCTCCATCACCGCCACTAAAATGCAATGCTCCCCCGGGGGAAAGTTAGGGCGTCTCCGAGGACTTAGGGTTTTCTGTTCGCTCCTTCCCAGCTCCCGGCCCATGTGTTCCTGTCGCACTAGCCTGGCACTCCCTTTCTCCCCCTCTATTCCACCCCACCCCACCCCACCCCACTGCTCATGCCTCGCCAGGGTGCGCGCCTTCCGTCCTTGCGAAGCCGGCAACCAACTGTTTCTGTCGTACGGGCCGTACTCTAACGCCAAACTGCTGCTGTTCTATGGCTTTGCGGTGCGTGACAACCCGGCGGATGAAGTGGAGCTGGTGTTGCAGGTGCGAGGGTAACCGAGTGAAAGGGGGAGGGGGGCCCTGCAGTGGGGTATCTCGGCCGGCAGTGGCGATGATGGTGATGGTGGTGGCGATGGTAATGATGGTAATGATGGTGGTGGCAGTAGGGTTGGTCCCCCGCGAGGTTGGTCGCGATGAGGGGGTGGTCGCGAAGGACGTTACTGGGGTTACAGGTGGCTCCGGCGTCAGCCGCCATTTTGCCAAGGCCTGCTTCAAGGGGGTTTGAGTATGGGGTGGTTCTCCATGTCCCATGTACGTGTCCGTGTCCCCCCCCAGGTGCCCCCGGGGGCCGCTGCAACAGACCGCCGGGCACTGCTTGCGGCGGGTCTATCCCTGGAGCATCGTCTGAGAGCTGGAGGCCGCCTGGCGCCGCCGCTACTGTCGTGCGCCCGCCTGCTGGCGGCACCGCCGCCGCTACTCAAGCAGTGGCGGCGCATGCCGCCGGCGGAGGTAAAGGCGGCGGTGGCGGCGCCTATCGATGCGGAATCCGAAGCGGTGGCGATGGGGTTGCTGGGGGACGCTATCGAGGCCCTTTTGCGGCCTGCCCGGGATTGCGCGGCGCGGTTAAGGAGTCAGGAGGTGGGGAAGGAGGCAAGGGAGGGGTTCGCGGCGGCGGTGGGAGGGGAGGAGCAAACCGCGGTCGGGCCGGGGACGGAGCTGCGTCGCTTCGCCCGCGTGTACGTGGACGGCTTGGTCCGTGTGTTAGAGGATGCCCTGGCGGCGGTACGACGGGGCCCTATATCGCCGCGCAGTAATGCTGCCTAATCAGGCGCTGACCTATGCGTACGCTCCGAAACATCGGGATGGCTATGAGCAGGGCACTAACAGGAGCCGAGTTGGGAGAGGTGTGGGCCGTGAAGGGGGAGACGCAAGGTTTGTGCAGCGGGCGGAGAAGGGAGGGAGCTTCGCGGGGATGCGGTGTAAGGGGCCCTTGATGTTGAGAATGCGGAAATGGGGTCCTAAACGGTTTTCTGGAGGGGTCGGATGGTTACTGAACCTTTGTGAGTTTGAGAGGTGGCTGAGCGCTATAGGACGGGTGGGTGAACTTTGCGCATGGTGCATCTCTTGTAATACAGACGGGGTCTTGACCAAGCTACGATTTGATGGGGCGATTGGCGTCAGCCGCTATGCATTTAGTTTGCTGCTCTGGTTTGTTGATAAGTAATAGGTAATCTGATCGGTAATCCGCTGAACGATTCGCTTGCGGTAGGCGATTCGCTGAGCGATTCGCGTTCTGGGTTCAATGGTGGCAAAACGTGGTGGTAGATTAGAGTGCATCGGGTTGAAATCTTTGCCAGATGTTTTGCAGATTCTTACGTTGGCGATGAAGTCAATCCTGATGATGTGTCCTGATTAGCCAGTCGTTATCAATGCTGCAGGTTGCGTATTCGTCGAGCAAAAGGAGGGGTCGAACCTTGTCGAGGCCGGGCACTGAATCGTTCGCGTAAACTTTTCGAAATAGAATAATCTCGCTCGAATTCGCTCGAGTGAATATTTATGAAATTGCATGATTGCTTACATCCCTGCGCTTGCGATTTGCGTTACTCGTTGCCTTTCGAGGGTCGCAGAAAACTCGCTAGGAGCGGTGAGGGTTCTCCCGATGCATTATTCTTGAACCTCAGAATAACCCTAATTGCAGAAAAATCTACAACAAATTTCGTGGCTGATCTGCACTGCTTTCGCGCAATCTGTAGTAAATCATATTGGGCCAATAAACTATCTGGGGAGACACGTGGCGTCGGAATGCTTTAACAGGTGAAAGCGCCTCACAGTAGATATGTCGTGCCGAAGAATATCTAAGGCGCCTGAAGGGCCCCTCGTGACGAGCGCCCTATCCCGCGTAACTCGCTTGACCGATCCGTTTTCCCATCTTCGCATGATGGGGAGCTTGACGATTCGTATCCTGGTCTCGAGGTCCACCTTTGCTGAGATATAATGGTAAAATAATATCCTCGCTACTTGTAAAAGCTCATATGCAAAAAGTTTCCGACAGCACGAGGCGCTCGACCTTTCGATTCTGGACTTGCAGATGTATGATTTTGATGGGTTCTTAGTTCAATTAGGACTCTTATTATATGGATTCATCGTTTGTGCGGTGAAAGGAGCACTGCATATCCATCCCTTCTTTCCAACTTCTCTTGTCCCATGGGACATGTATGCATCCTTGCCTGCTGCTCCCAAACAAAATAGAATTCAAACTTCATCTTAGTTGGGCCCTGGACGTGGCAAAAGTATGCGGGTGGAGAGTTAGCCTGCGAGGTTTTCGACAAGGTCAACTAGGGCCCTGCAGTCAAAATTATTTATGCATTGCGTGCACAATATCACTTCATTACAAGTGTGTTTGACAGCTATTCGCATAATGTCTCTTCATCATTGGTGACAGTTGGCGGGAAAGAAATAACCCGCATCGTAATGTCTATTAGTGGCAGTCACAAGGCAAGATCGCATTTGGGATGCCTAAAAATAATGCATGCTTCCCACATTGTATATGGATAGAACCAATGGCAGGGTTATGCGTCATGTCGTCATTGCGCAGTACATAATTGCCTGCCCTCTTTCGGCTAAGCGATTACAAGCCTGAAACGTGGAACATTGTCGGAAGTGGTCCATAGTAGGTTAGCGATAGGGCACATAGCGGTCCATTATGGACTCGGACAGCAGGGGCCGCCGGGGACGGGCGCGAAACAGCCGAGGTTCATCACGTTCAGCCGGCGGCCTACGTCTCTTCAGCTTGAAAGTTGTTGAGAAGATACGCTCACGTGTCCGCACCACCTACAACGCGGTGGCCAATGAACTGGTCAGCGATCAGAATATGTCTGGTGGAAACGCTAGAGATGGAAAGAGCATCCGTCGGAGATGCTACGATGCAATAAATGTTCTCCTGGCGTGCGGCCTCATCATGAAAGACGACAAAAAGCAAATTGTTTGGCGAGGACATGGCTGCGTCGAGCTCGACCGGTTGCGTGCTGAGGTCGAAAAGAAGGCGCAGGATGTGGAGCAGAAGAAAAAGCTGCTGCAGGTTCGAAAGATGTCTAGCAGGGTTGTGCGGCCGGGGTCGCGCTCGGGGCGACAGCCAGGATACCGGTTTTTTTATTGTCAGGTGCTTTCTCCACGTTCTTCGTTATGAAGTTGTGGGTTGGATGCAGCGATGTGCTTGCGCGCAACTCCGGCTACAGAGATTTTTCAACGCTCCTAAAGCCGCATTCAATGCCCTTGAAGCGCACGCGTACCTCAGCTAACGCTGCTCTGTAAAAATAGCGTTGCGCTTGCTACAGGACATGGAACGCAAACACAAGACACTGGAGGCCTTGCTGGCGCTGGGCGCGAGTCGCGAAGCCGATGCTCAGGACAGCGGCTGCGGCAGTGGTGGCAGCTCAAGTGCCTGCAGCGGGAGCTCCCAGACCAGCCAGCGATACACCATTCCGTTCATGCTCGTCCAGGTGCGCAGGTAGAATGACAGCGCGTGGGGCCGCGGAAGGGAAGGCGCATGCGGGGCCTCCTCTCCTCTTACAGGACCGTCACCGACACATGCGTTATTTCCCAACAGGCCGCACATTTGCATGCCCTCCTAGGTCATCATACATTTACCCACCCTGGTAATAATGATTAGCCCAACTGACTCTTTGCCCAAACAGCACAGCTCCCAGAAGGTTCAGGATGCTCTATCACCCGGGTCTGTTGAGCGGTCCACTGACCTGGTGACTTCTCCAACGTCGAGGGTTTCAAGGATATAGGGGCCGCCTCCCGCTATAATCGGTTTGGGGGCTTAAAAACGGAAAACCGATTTCAACGGTTGTTGCAGGGGCCTCGTTTGTGTGTGGGGGGGTTGTGTTGGTGGGGAAGACTGCTGCCAAACGATAAGTGAACGGGGCGCTCCGTTATTAGCGACATGTTCCGCGCGGGCACAAGCACGGCACGGTGTTACCTATCCCCTTATTTGTGGCACATGTTGAGCTGCCTGCTACTAAGCGAGCTGCCCTTCCGCGGCCTTGGTTGTCGTCGTCGCCGCCAAAGCGCACGATGAATACCGTGACGCGAGTTTGTTCAGCGAGCTTGCACATAGCCATGTCTTTCAACCCCCGTGGCAGCGCGCCGAGCTATCATATACGTCATCATGCACACGCACACGCGCGTCTGCACTGCCGAATAACCCCCCGACCGGCCCCGCGCTGCTGTTGAGCGGCCTTCCGAGTCTAGATGCGCATCCTTCTTGCCTCCTTGTCCAACCACCACTATCTCTTCAAACCGGCCTGTTGCTCCAGTCCCTCAGGGCTCTGCGAGGCGCCCGAGTGGAGGGCACTTTCCCGGGTCTATTTCTCGCCCGCCTTAAGCCCAGCGCCAAATGCGCCTCTCGCCCGCACCCCACGTTCTATGCGGGCATGCTTGCAGAACGATTTGCTTTTGTATCCTCGAGCCTCGAGCAGACGACTGTTTTGAGCCGCCGCTAACAAACACCTCGATATTCCGTGACCTCAGCTCCCCCCCCCCGTCCACACACACACGCCCCGTCCCGGCGCCTCCACGGCCCCCAGGCACCTGCATGTGCGAAAGTGCACCTGCATAGCTCTGAGGACCGAACCGAGGTCCAGTTCGAGCTGACCGAGTGAGTGAGTGTGGGGGTGGGCGAATGAGTCTAACTGGCCTGCAGTGATCCGGGCGGTTGATGACCGCATCATGACGCTGCGCACGCGTACGGTATATGAGGGCCGAGTTTCTTGGTGTGTTGGCTGGCGGGTTGCACAAAGGAGGATGTGATGGCAGCCGTGTGACAAGGGGCGGATGTGGCGAACTGGGTACCGGTTCTGGTGGGGATGGGGGGATGGGCGCAGATGGCGCAAACCCCGACGAAGGAAACGTAGATAGGTCAGGATAGGCTGGGGCTGGCCCAGCGAGCGCATCCGAGACCATGGCGTGGGCAAGTGCGACTATCCTGACCAATAAACACAGTGGCAGCTGCAGTGGTACTTTGAAATGCAAATGAACACAGCGTTGATATGGGAGGTGTGCCACGAAGTCCTTGTGCCCAGGGCGCGAATGCCCATCACTCCTGCTGTTGTTGTTCTTGCTGTTCAGCTTGCTGTCGCTGCTGCTGCCGTTGCGATTTCCTGGGGCGCTGCTGCTCCCCCGGCGCTGCAGGGCCCCACCCGAGCTCCATGATGACTGCTCGGTGGTGATGCGGCTGCAGCAGCACGAGGCGGAGCGTCAGGCCAACCAGCGCTGCCGCAGGCAGCAGCAGCAGCGCGGTGTGGGACCTAGCCAGGCAACAGACAGCGGTCAGCCGACACCGCCACAGCAGCCTGCTGCTGCTGGGGCAGCAGGTGCTGCAGGGCCCATGGCCTGCGACTTCTCGACACCAGAGACGCTGGTTCAACTGCCGGGACCAGCTACTTCTGCAGCGCTGCCGCTACTGCCGCCATTACAACATCTACTATTGCGCCAGAGCTCGCAGCAGCCGCATCTCCCGCAGCCGCAGCCCCAACAGCGATTTCAGGACCCTGTGGCGCCGCCGCTGCCGCATAATTTCACGCAGCCACCTCAACAAGGACAGCAGCACCAGCAGCAACCGTCTGAAATGGCGCCCCAGCAGCAGCAGCAACAGCCGCAACAGCAGTTGGAGCAGTCCCTGCCAGTCGCCTTACCGAACCATCTGCTTGTCCCGGGGGCCCAGCCCAGCCACTCAATACACGAGGACCGTCTCACAAGCGCATTACAGCATCCGCTGGAAGCAGCGCCGCAGCAGCCACCGCAGCAGCAGCCACAACAGCAGCAGCAGCAGCAGTCGATAGACTTCCTTTCACACCTGAAGCCTCTGGTCACCAGCAGGACGCAAAAGGACAGCAAAGACTGGCGTCGGCCGCCGCACGCGGTGCGGGACATGCAAGTTGACGATCAGGCCCAGGCCGGGCGGCCGTTGGAGGTGCACCCCGCCGGCGCTACGGGTCGGGCATGGCAACAGGTCGGGCCTGCGCCGGCCGTCGTCCAGCCGCCACCGCAACCCCTGTCCCTGCTGTCACAGCCGCTGTCTCAGTCGCATCTGCACCCTCATTCCCAGCCGCCGCATCAACCGCAGCATCAGCATCAGCAGCAAGTCGCATTCGCAGCAGCAGCGCCACCACCACCAACAACGGGAGATCTTGCTCACTTTTTCTGCTCGCGCTCGCTTGAGCAGCAGCTGCAGACACAGCATCCCTGCACGCCATTTGGAGCACACGACTGCTACCAGCACCACAATCACCATGATGAGCATCGGCATCAGCATCAGCATCAGCAGCATAATCGCCATCTTGGTGGCCTTGGACAGCTGCAGACACAGCCCAGCCTGGGCGCACTGGAGCATGGTCGCCATCAGCACCATCTGCACCAACAGCATCAATCAATACACCAACAGCAGCAGCAGCAGCAACATCCACTAGTAAAGCAGGAGCAGCAACCACTGCAATCGCTGCAGGAGCATCAGCAATCAATTCCACCCCAGGTGCACCCCATGCAGGTTCTGCTTCAGCATCCGCCACCACCACAGCAGCAGCAGCAGCAAGATCTGCAGCCGCATGAGCCACAGCCGCCACAGGATCTGGGCCTGGGGGAGTTACTGGCGCCCGCGTCCCCGCCGTCGCTGTACACCTTGGAGCAGATGGACGACGAGCACCACCTGCCGTCCGGCCTGATGCCCTTCACATCGGAAGACCCCGACCCGCTCAGCCTGGGGATTGGCTCCAACCTCGTGCTCGACCAGCTGGGCTACATGGGCTGGCCTTGCTCGGGAAGTAAGTGTCCAGGGGGGCTCCTGCTGTGTGGCTGTACGTCTGCCAGGATGTGAGGCGGCTGTCGCTTTGGCGCCGCTTGAACCCCTACCCAAGTTTTTGGCGGTTGCTAGGTGCCGGGAATGCGGTGAATTGGGATTTTGGCTGCCTTACTCGCCTGTGTAATACCTCTTGCGATTGGTTTGGGGCGGCATCAACCCACAGCGGGAATTGCGCTGCTGATTTCCCTGCCTACATGAGCTTACGGTGACTCCGTGTGGGAGAGGGAGAGCGTCCGGTATTTGTCCGTAATCGTATGCGCCGCCACTTTGGAGAATTTACTTTCATTTACTTGCACTCCAGCATGTTCGTTTTATGGTGATGATGTGCTTGACTTGCTAGGTAATTTGATTTGTCCTTACTGCATACACCGCGATTGCAGGTCCCGACCCGTTCAGCCCCTCGGCCTTCCTGGTCACGCCCAGCTTCATGAAGGGACCGTGCAGGTCTGAGCAGAACCGGTCCGTGGGTGCCGTGCATCAGCACATGAGCGTGCAGCAATAAAGGGCGAAGCATTTAGAGGGGCCCGTGCGTTCCGAGGATAAAGCCTGACCCCTTGGAATGCCGCAGATAGTATCGCCCCTTCTTAGCCGCCGGGATGTGGAAACACGTGCCTTTGGGCACGTGGCTTGCATGGCATGGCATGTCATTTGCACGAGCGATTCAGTAGATTTCAAAAGTTTTTTTCTTTCCGGGTTGGGGTTGGCACACGGGAGCTTCGGTTAGAGGCGGGATGCTTTGGATAGGAGCGAGAGTTTGTGTGGGTGTGCCCGGCCTGGAAAGCAGCGCATGGGGCGGGTCACCGGTTCATTTGGACGGGTGCGTTTGGGGAGTTGGGGGTTAGCTGCAAGCATGTGCATAACCCATAACCAATACGGTCTTGCGGCCTTTCGGTTCGGTAGCCGTTCATGCGTGTGCCGCCCATGCAGCAGGTGATGCAATGACCGTTTGTTCTGACGCGCATTGTTACTCAAGAGAGCAGGAAACGTCAGTTAGATGCAAGAAATGCTCTGTCATTTACCTTTTCTTTGTGTTATTGGTTGTCAAGGCCCGGGCAGTTTCCAAACCGCAGGATTTAGCTTTACGAGAAGGGTAGAAGAGGCTTGTCCGAGCTCTGCATGGTGCCTGTTTTCTTTTTGATCGCTTTGGTCGTCGCGTTGTTGTTTTTACCTCCTTACCTCCTTTTACCGCAACCTAACATTGAACTCTCACGCTGCTCTCTTCGTGGATAGACGAACTGCCAGACAGGTAGGCAGGCGGGCAGGCAGGTTACGCAGCCTCATGCGCGGTGGGCTCCTCGGCTCATGGCGCGCTGCACTTCCAGAGGTCCAATGCAATTCGTAGGGGAGCCGAGCTGCACGCAGCTCACGGCAGTAGATATCACAGTTTTAGGGTTTTGATGCCGCTTGTTTTGTCGAATGTCGAGTTGGGAAAGTACAGAAGAAGGCAATGTGAATAGTCATGTGGCTTGGGGCTATTGGTATGTTTTGCATGTTGACGATGATGATAAAAGGCAGGAAAAGGTAGTGGGTATAGTCTTAGGCTTGAGGCAGGTTTTGGTATCTTGCACAAAACAATTATGGAAAGGAGAGAGGAATATAGGGCGAGTAGTTTCTTAGGGTATCTGTCCAGCTTCTCACACGTCTTTCGTTCCCCAGCTCTGGCCCTTGAGTCTTGAAGTGCCGCCTGAGCATGTGGCGTATGCGTCTACAAGGCTAGCCGCGTGAGACTTGGATGAACAACAGTTTGACTTTGGTTTGGGCGGCCCGCCCTAAAGCAGCGCTGCTGTATTTCGGGGCGAGCGGATTCGGCGCCCCTATCGGCGGTGTGCTGTGCTGCGGGAAGTCTCGCCAGGCCGCTGCTGCAGAGCTGGGTCCCTGCCTTGCGCAGCGGCATTGTTGGTGGTGAACGTTTGAATTACAAGTCAAGACGATGTTTGTGGGTTAACTTTAGGGCTCCATGCCTTCTCGAAGCGATACATGTTGATGGCAGAGGTGCAGGATGCAGCTGGGGATGTGGGGTTAAGTAGCCGGCGCAGATTGGAGCGCCTTTTCTGGCGCGCTATCTGGTGCTGCTGGGATCCAGACGGGTTACAACTGCCCAGTCAGGTTTGATTGGAGACGAGCCACAACGTTACCGCGTGCTGCCTAGGTGTGCGTGTATACTTAGTGGTGGTTTTCCCTTTCCCACTAACGACCGACAGATACTGCTTGGATCTGTTCCTCTAGATTGGAACACGTGCGCACGCACTGCCAGGTAGGGGCAGGACCTGACGCGCGCGCTCCCCACCCCGCTTCACCCTAGTGCCCATGGTTCTTTTGCCCATGGTGCTTGGTCGCTAAGCAAGCTCCATTGTGGGGATCCCATATCTTCCTTCGTTCGCAGCAGTGGATGTGAGAGGCAATGGTCCCAGATGCACGTGCGTCTTAATTGGTACATATTTATAAGCAATGTGGGCGTTTGCGGGGCGATTGGGCCGCGGTGTTCATTTTGGCGCGCGCGTTGCGGCCGCGGCAGGAGTGCGCCTGCGGCAGGGTGGGCGCCTGGTTGGGAATTGCAGGATTCGGCTTTGGGAGTGTTATCGGCTAACGAGCTCAGTGGCCAGGATGATGAAAGGGGTGTGGATAGCTCGTGGTGAAGAGCGACCTCTTTTTCTTTCCGTGAGGGAGCCGAAGCTACCTTTCGGTGATGCGAAGGCTCTGCTTTGACAAGGGCGAAAGCCTGCTTGCAGGCAGGCAGGCCTGAGGCACACTTGTCCTTGCGAGGCAGGCGTGTCAGCAGCGCGTCTGGTGTGTCATCTGTGGCCGGATGGGAGACCTTTTGCGAGTTCTGGTGAGCCCCCGGGAAAGGAACCCGGCTTTGGGGTTCGAGTGGCTGAATGATGGTCATTATTACGACGATGTTATGCGAGCGCGGATGCTCGTATTTCAGTATATATCCGCGTCTTGCAGAAGGGTGGAGACGGCGAGTGGTACAAAAAAATGGTGGCGTGTGGGTGAATGGGCCCCAGAGGGGGTTCCATTTAACGTTTACTGTGGCGCTGAAGACGTGCCTCCGGACGCGCTATGTTGTGCTGTTCTGCGCGGGCGCATTCACTGTGTGGCTGATGTGCGTTGTCAGCGGGCACAGACAGCAGGCCGGACGCCGCAGGGCGCGCGGTCTTTGACCCACTTGAGAGCGGAAGTGGCAACAACACACTGCAACAATGGACACGACGTAATGCCGATAATCGCGACGGCTGGACACTTTCGTGCGGCCTTCTACTGAAAGTTTGGTTGTTTGCATTTTTTTGCTTTTTGGTTGGTTGTGCTTCTTGTAGTTGGCCTTTGCTCGCCTTTGCTGTCAGCTGGTGTACGACGGCAGTGCTGGAGACTTTTTGTCGGCGGCAGATTTGTCTGTGCGTGGTTTCGTGTGTGTGTGTGTGTGTGTGTGTGTGTGTATTGTGCAGCTGGTGATGGACGCGCGATGGACATACTTCCTCTGGTGAACGTTTTTCGCATAGAAGAAATGCGCCGTCGCCGCGGAGGACGTTGCAAACGCGGCGTTCTAACAGTGATGCGTGTGTGAGAAGTCAGCAAGGACCGCAATGCGAGTATGTTGGCGGTGGCAGAGCCGTCGCGACGTTTACTACTACTTTTGAGTAGCACCGACTGCCGCCCAAGAGCGTGTAAGAAAGAGTTCCTTAGCCGAGCGAGTCCTGCAGGATACGTTGCCAAACTTGTATCACAGCACCCCGTCTACCCCCCCTTCCTGGACGCCCGAGGGAATACGTCGGCAGCGTTCGAAAAATCTGACGTTGGCAATCGTGGGTAAGGCACTGTCGTCCTGTATCGTCTGACCAGATCCAATCGACGTGTCGTCCTGCTCTTGCGTACTGAATGTCGACGCCCTCACCCGGCGCCACAATAATGACTACTGATCGTCCATGGGGCCCCCACAGGCTTTTACCGACGCCCCCCACACTTGTGCGGAACTTGTAAATCGTGTCAGGGACCTGACGTTTCGAAGGAGTTCTTTACATAAAGCAGGGGATGTGTATGGTCGCGCAGGCCATCGGCATTAGCCACCGCCGAAGTTCATGGCAGCAGAGTATTCAATTCCACAGCATGGTAGTTCCCTGCACTACTCGCCACGCCCTAAGCACCGAGCTTTGAAGGAAACGAGGGCCTTTACCATTACCCACAATCTATGCACCGTGCAGCATGACTGAATCCAAACCAATGAATGGAAGCCAAACACAACGCGGAGAGCCCACCAACCAACTACCGGAAACGCCCCCCTGTACGCCGCCCGATGGGGCCCAGGCTGCAGCAGAGGTACAGGTCTCACCGCTGGCCCGCAACCTGCACGTAGGAGCGGGTCGGGCCCTGAGGCTCGTCGTCCTTCTTACAAAAGTGCTACCCTACATCGCAAAGGCTCAGTGGGCTATCTACTAATGGACCTTAAGACGCGGTTAAAACTCCCACACTCCTTTCCTCACCCCGCTACAACCCCTCTAGCAGCTTCCCAGGACGCATCTGGACAACGACATCGCACAGGCGGCAACGGGGGGGGAAGGAGAAGGAGCCTGACAACAACGGGGTTGCCTTCATTACGCGGTTACGCCTCCTGCAACTCAACCATCCTCGCTTGGACACACCAGCAGCCCGGATGAAAGCAGACAGCTCCGCAGCTCTGAAGCCAGACCTCCACTGCATGGATGTGCTGCTGCTGCTGCTGCTGCTGCCCCCGCCAACACCCGCCGCCGCACATCCAGCATTGCTGAAGAGGTATAGCGCAAGCGAGCATGCGTTGTGCTGCTAGGAGCTGCACCCTGAGCGGGGGCATCCACCGCAGTGTAGTGCTGCTGGTGGTGAGCCCCGTGCTGCCCATCAAACGACTTCTGCTGCCGCACCTCCATGTCTTGCTGCTGCAGCAGGTTCAGGACGCGCAACGGCGCAGCGGGAGGTGAGAAGTCCACACAGCCAGCGACCCACGGGTCATAGGACGTGCAGACGGCGGCACCTGCTGTGGTGGCAGCCGGCGCTGTAGGCGGACGTGTATGCGAACGCACCACCCCTTCGCGGTCCCTTCGCGCGGAAGCAGCACCTGTTGGAGACGCGGTGGAAGGGGCGTTACGTCCCGACCCGTGTCCCCGCCGGTGCTGCTGGTGGCTACTGTTGGGCTGGTGGCTACTGTTGGGCTGGTGGCTCCGGTCCGCTATTGGAGCCGTGCCACAGACCGGGACCGAGGATGTCGGTCCAGAGGGGACAGGAGGTGGCAGCGGCTGTGGTGGTATTGGCTGCGGAAGGGGGGCCGGGGGCGGCGGCGGCAACAGCATGGCGCAGCAGCGGGCAGCTGCCATTACTGCCTGGGCGGCGGCGTCCAGAGTGGTTTCGGCGCCGCGCGCCGCGTTGGGGTTAAGAGCGGGTGCTGCAGAGGGGTGGTCTGAGGCCACGGCCGCGCGCATGGCAGCTGCTGCCAGTCCGCAGACTGCCCCTTCCAGTGCTGCCATAGCTTCAATCATCGTCGTACTGCTGCTGCTGCTGCTGCCGCTGCCCTGTGACGGCAGTTGCGCAGCGCCACTGCCGGCACCGTCTACACCTTCCGGGTTGACAGCGCGCAGTGCCTGGGGACGGTGCGAACCCGAGTCCCGAGCTGATGCCCGACCGCGCATCCCGGTCTGCTGGCACGTGCTTGGCGGCGGCGTTGCTGTCCCCCCCATGGACCTCGCTTCCGCCGCTGCTGCCGCAGCAGCGGCTTGCAGATAGGCCTGTGCTTTGCAAGCCACCGTGGGGTCATCTTCTCTAACATCACACGCAGCGCACGCAGCGGCATAAATCAACATCGCCGCCTTTGCCACGTCCGCCGAGGTCACCGTCACCGCTTCCTCCTCCTGACCAGCGCCGCTGGCCCCCGGCTGGGCCCCGCGGCGCTCCACCGCGGCCAGCTGAGCCCTGAGGGCCTTGTCCGTGGCGCCCTGCACAGCCGCCAGCGGCGGCGCCGCCGCTGGCGGCGCCGCTGCCGTATCCGTGACGGCCCCCGCTGTAACCCAGGTCGCGGCAGCCGGCGGAGGCGGCCCTTGCCGCCGTGCCGCCACGACCTTCCGCCGAGTTGCATATCCGCCATCATCGCCGCCACCACAGGCCTGTGGAGCCCCCCTTCCCAGGTATACGGCATGTACCGCCTGTAGTGCCATTTCGTCATCTTCGTCGTAATCGTCTTCTTGATGAAGAAGATCTGCTGTTGCCGCAGCAGCACTGGCCTCCGCACAGCCGCTGCCCATGTCCTCGTGGTCGGGGTCTCCCTCATCGCCACCCGCGTTTACCAGCCCACAGCTGTTATCGCCACTGCCGCTGGCCGTCTGCTCACGGCCGTCGGGCGACCCTAGCTGCCGCAGCCGCCTCATACACCAGCCGAGCAGCGCGGCGCCGCAGTAGCTAGCTACCAGTACGGCGCCCCCCATGGCGGCCGCAGCCGTCTGCACCTGCTCACACGCAGCCGCCACCGCCATGTGCACATCATCTTGCAGCTGGGTCTCAACCGCTGAGGCCGCGCCGCTTCCAGGACACGGCCCGCTGGTCCTCGGTTCGCTGCCGTTGGCGGCGGCCGCCACCACTCCCCGCAGTGCCTCCAAGAACAAGGCCGGCAGGGCGGCAGCGGCGCAGTCCCGTCCTAGGGTTCCCAGTGCCTGCGGGTACGGACGCAACCCGACGGAAGTTAGGGAGCCCCCCGTGATTTGGCCACGACGGGAACGTGTAGGAGCGGGAGCAGGCGCAGGAGGGCCTCAGGACAGCGCCGGAACGTACGGCATGGTGCAGGTGGAGCAAGTGTGGCATTCGTTGGCTCTCGGCCCAGGATTGCAGTTGGAGGACTGCCGCACAGGGCACAGGCAGAGGGGGAATTGTGGCCGTGAAAGCATCCTACCCGCTCCCTTTACGTTAGGGTTACCAACGGCGACCTTACCTTCCATCTGCGGCGTCTGCGTTGAGCCCAGACCGTGCTGTCAGGCCATAGTGCCCGCCGCTTAGGCAACGCCAGCGCCATGCATTACTCGTCCCCCTCCCAATACCTCCCCCGCCAACCACACACACACATGCCACCTCAGTGTCGGCATCCAGACGCACCTCCTCATCCTCATCCTCATCCCCGCCGGGGGGATACTCATGCGGCCCCTGGGCTACATGTTGATGATGATGACCAGGGGCGTCCTGGAAGACGTCCTCGCGGCCGCCACACGACAACGCCACCTCCCGTCGGCCGCTCGTACCTCCGCAAAACCCAGCGCTGCGACCGCCCTTCGTTTGCCCGAGAACCAGTGCACACAGCTGCGCGGCAGTGGCCAGGGCCGACGCCGTGCCAGCGGTCTGCAGCGCCCGTGCCGCCAGCAGCGGCTTGTTGGCTAGCAGACTCTGCAGCGCCAGAGCCTCCGGTGGCAGCTCCCGTACAGGCGGCGGAGCAGCCGCAGTTGCCGCCGCCGCCGCCGCCGCCGCTGCCGCCGTCGCACTGTGCACCGTCCCCGTCAGTGGTGCCAGAGTGCGCGTGGCAGCGACTGTGCCCGATGAATCAATGACGGTTGTTGAGGTGGTTGGTAAATCCTTGGCAGTTGGCGCGGTTGAGGTGGTTGACGCCGTCAGCTCCAGCCCGGGTGCTTCCGTTGGTGCCTCCGACTTCAGGTGGCCAGTAGCCATCTGCATGTCTTCTATCCTTGCGACGTCGACCGGCACCCCCAATGGGGCTGCCCCCGCAAGCAGCGACTTCGTCTTTTCGGAGCATTCCGGATCCATCTGGATTTCAGATCCAGTGGACCTTCCTGCTGCGACAGGCTGACTGGCGGGGCCTGCCCCCTGTTGCTGCTGCTCCTCCGTCTCATGCTCTTGTCCTTGCTGCTCCTGCTGCTGCTTTGCTGTCGGCTGCGGCTGCTGCTGCTGTGGCTTATCCTGCTCCTGATTTTGCTCCTGACATGTCAACAAGTGCTGCTGCTGCTGCTGCTGCAGAGGTGGCTGTTGCAGGGACAGCGTCGTTGGCTGCAGCCGCCGCCGCAGTAGCTGGTCCAGCAGGGTGCCGAATGCGGGGTCACGGACATGCAGACGGCACCGGGCCAGGGCGACGGCCTCACGCTGCATACCCTGAGACCTGCGAGAAAGAGGAAAGCAGGAAGGGTCAGACATGCCGGGTCCGGCGGTTTTCCTTTGGGGAGCGGGGGTGCCTTAAACCGCCTGAGTCTGAAGGAGAGGAGGAGGACGAGGAGGAGGAGGGTTTACGGCGGTGAAATGAATTGGGGCTGCGACAGAGAGACAACGAAGATGTATTGCACTCACATGTACAGCTGTACGGCCTGCCAGACGTCGCCAATGGCCAGCAGGTGGCACACAGCCCAGTGCACGTGACCCCCGGCCACCAGCCTTGAGGCACGGGCCCGCATGCCATCTGCCCAAACGTTGTATCCTGCGGGCCAGGAATGCACATCGAGGCATAGGTTGGTAGGGCAACGATGCGTGGGAGGAGGCATGGCAGGGGCTGCGGGCAGCCTGATGCGCGGGGCGGGTTCCCTACATTTGAGCCGGAGAGATTTACGGAAGGATAATTTCTCAGCCGAGGGCTTTTACATCTTCTTGGGCTATCCTTTGCGTGGTGCATAGGGAGCTAATGGACAAGCCATCCATAACCAATCACCTTGACTCGGTGCAGCAGCCGCTAATTGAGAGTTCCAACATTTTTCTGCTTGCACTAGTTCCCATGCCGCATGGCTACGCCCTGTAAGGAACAGATGAGCTGCCAGCACTGAAGCCGACTGTGAAGCCATCTTCCGAGGAGTGCCGTCATGAAATTAAAAAAGAAGGTAAATGTTACTAGCGCAAACTAATTTAAAAAGTAAGATCATAAGATTGCAGCAAGGGCTTTATATGACTAAAGCAGCATTACAAATGTTCCCGTTCATAACAGTTGGTCGGTTGGCCTTTTCCCTGGGCAGAGCCTATACGGCTATACGTGAACTGGACTTTACAAATACGACAGGCCCCGCAAAGTTCAGAACTTGAATCAGCTGTCGTAGCACTTCGCTCTTTCAGTGGGGTATCTGGCTATCACGTGTTTGGTTTACAGGTGGCCAGGACTGCGAACCGGACAGGCGACGCGACACTAGAGAACGTGTACATACACCAGCTGACGATGGCACGCCGTACGAAGCTTCAACTTCGGCAGAAGCCAGGCCACGTCCGACTTAAAAGAAATATAGAGCGTGTGTGTGTGTGTGTGAAGGTTACAACTGGCCAGCCCAACGGAAAGACCGCCTAAGATCTCTACCGCAGGCGGGAGAGGGGCGCGAGGGGCCTCTGCCCCCTCCTAAGCAGCCGAGAGCCGCAGGTCCGCTAGCTCCCGCTCTCATCCCCCGGGGGTGGGAGGCGTCGCACGCGCGCACGCTCGCAAAGAGTCAAGGCTCCGTCACGCGAGTTTGCGCACTGAGCCTGAAACACGAAACAAGACTCCTCTCCATCCTCGGCCTGGTCCGGCTCATTTGGTGAGGGTTCACTAAGACAGAGGAAACCTGGAAACCCTGTGCGGACCCTACCCCTCCCAATTAAGGCCTTAACCCCCCTTTTGGGCTCTAGCCCATGACCAGGTGCATCTACGCGGCCACACACTCCACCATGCAATCCATCACTTGTCTGACTTAGCAGGCAGATCTAAGAGGCGCGCGCAACACGTCCCTTCAGCTCTCAAGGCGAGGTGCCTGCCATCCCCCCGCCTGCCGCGCAAACTGCGGCTACCGGAGCATGAGAGGCCGTTGTGAGGCTCGAGCTGTTGAAGCCGTCGCAGGCTCCCTCAAGCCTCATGGGGATACCCACTCAAGCAAACGGTGGCGCTATACCTACATACCTACATACCTACATACATTGTACTTATCATAATTGATTACATGATGTAGAGACACAGGATCGCGCGCCCTAGGATGAGCAGGAGGGGGCTGTGGCCCCTCACCCCCCTCTCCCCCCACAAGGGAGGAGAGTGCTTCGGCGGCCCCTCGTTCCCGTTGGGGTACGGTACGGTTAGGTGCCCCTGGCCAGCGTCAAGCCCCGACCGATGTGTAACAGAAGGATACATATAGATACTATGTGTGTTGTTGCGTCATTCGTTTTCACAGGTGTTGTTGTAATCAAAGCGTCGCAGTGCTGTAGACGGACGCACCGACTCGGTGCGCGTCCTGAACCATATGTTCATTGCGGTCAAAAGCCCCCTCGACATGCCAGCAAGACAGACAGACAGATAGACCGACAGACATGCATGCGCGCGCAGGATGTAGTTCCACATTAACCAAATATACATACGGTCAGTGCCTTATAATTCGCATCTTCGCGTATCTACAACGCGACTGCAAAGCTCAACTAAGGTCCACGATGCACTCCCGCAACCAAAACAACGACAACCACAGTGGACGCAAACAAGCGCTATCCGAACACCGAGGCAGCAAACGCTCAAGACCCCCGGCAACATCACCTCCCCCCCCCCAGCTGTCAAACCCCTGCCGCTTTCCCGCCCCACGCGCCGCCCCCTCTCCCCTTCTCCCACACCTCCCGAAAGGGCCTTTCGCAGAAGCGAATTGCCGTAGTGAACGTCCCCCGCCTTCTACTCTCCCTTTTTGCCCCCGTGATCCCCTTCACAGGCGCTGAAAGAGCGGGCTGGTGGACAGCACAGCCTCCGTCACTCGTAGCTCCAATGCCTCTCGGTCCTTCCGCAGCCGCTCTGGATCCGAGTACGCCGCCGCAATCGCCTGCAGCGACGTCGGACCCTCGTCGGCACCGTCCTCCCCGCCGCCGCCACCACCTCCAGGGTCCGGCAGACCGAGGCTGCTGCCGGACTCATTGCGGGGCCGTGACGGCGCACGAGAGCGTGACGCAAAACCCAAGCTGCCGGCGGCGGCGGCGGCGGCGCGCGCCGCGCTTGCCGGTAACGGGTTTAGGAGCCGCCCCGCTCCGCTTCCGCTTGATGGAGAGACGCCGATGTCGCCGCCGCTGCCACCGCCGTGCCCTGAGCCGGAGGAGTCTTCCCTGCCCAGCGCCGCCGCCACCGCCGCCGCCGTCGCCGCCGCCGTACTGCTGTACGTGGGTAGTACGTAGGTCGGGGAGCGCAGCGGCAGCGGTGACACGGGTGCCCGGGGCCCTCCGTTTGCCCCGGCAAACAATCCGGGGCTTACGGAAAGGATCCCGCCGCTGCCACCGCCGCCCGCCAGCCCCAACGGCGCGCCACCAGCACCGGAAGAGTGCTGGGAGAACAGCAGGGCATTAAAGGCGCTTGTGGAGGCGGACAGATGAGCCGGCCCCAGTCCGCCGCCGCCGCTTCCGAGGCCGCTCGCGACAGTGCCGCGGAAGGGGCTCTGGGGGCGGTGAGCATGTGGTGACGGCGACGGGGGGCTACTGACGGCGCCGTCGGGAAGGTCGTACGCTGCGTTGAGGCCCGGGACCGTCCTGGGGGTAATCGAAGGATGAGAGGGGACCGACAGAGGGCGGCAGCGGGGTTTCGCCAGGGGCCCCGTTCCCCCGGGCCTCCTGGTGGTGAGGACGGTGTCCCCTCATCCCGTATGGCCCTAACCACCTGCCCCTCAGGGCTGATGGCCTTCGCGGTAGAATTACGGAACTCCCCTTCGGCCGCGACCAGACATACAGACCGACAGATAGACAGACAGGAAGGCAAGTGGGCAGGTAGTCAGCCACACACTGCTAAACGGCCCGCATGCACTCGCCGACCTCCCTTGCCACCGCCGCTGAGCCCCAGCCGCTGCCGCTGCAGCTGCCGCTGCTAACTCACCACTGGGGCGCATCCCCTCGGTACACTCCCCGCTGCTTGGCGTACTCAATGGCGTGTGGGGTGACGGGTGTGGAGGCGCCGCGGCCCCCACCGCCAGTGCGCAGGCCGCTGCCCCCGGCGTTGAAGCTGCCCGACCGGCTGTCACTTCCGCTGCCCGCCTGCAGCCGCCAGACGCCATAACTTACATACATACATGTATACATACATATATACATACATATATACATCCACACATGCACACACGCGGGTTGATGGGGAGAGGCGCTTGCCGGGTACGCGGAATTAATGCAGCAGGTGGGAAAGCGAGCAGGTGGGGAGAACGGCGGAACATCCCGGTGTGCACCCTCTCCAGCCGGGCGGGGGTGAGAGGAGGGAGGGCCCTGCGGGAGACCATACCACCCGGGCGAGGAGGCGCCAAAGTAGCACCTAACCCGTCACCCATTCATAACCCTAAAGCTCCCCGCCTAGTACTTTGCCTCCACCACGCTCGCCCCAATCTAGGGGCAGTGTATGTTCATGAGCCCTAACATCAGCGGCTCCACGATTCCGCGGGATTCTCCCCAGGTCCCTCGCGTCGCACACCTGTCTCGCTTTCGTGCTCTTTCCAATGCTGCTCCCTACCTTACCTCCACCTCGTTAGCCGCTTACTGCAGCTATTATACATTTCCCCACCTCCTGTCTTCTTACCTTCTCGCACGCTAGGCTGTCCGGGTCTTCATTCCGATCGGTAAGGGACGGTTTTCCTCATTCACATTTTCTCTCATGCTGGCTGTGTGTTGCGTGTCGTCTGTTGTATGCAGTCTGTTGTTGCGTTCCCTGTCCCCCCCTCCCCCGTTCCCCCCAGGTTCGCTCCCCTCAACCCCCCCGGGCACTCGCAGAGGTCCCCTCAAGGGCCCCTCCCCGGCCCCCTTTTCCCTGTTACTCACCCCGCCCACCAGCGCCCTCCCGCCGCCTGCTGTGACCCCTTCCGCAGCGAAGGAGCCCGTCGGCGACTGCACCTGCAGAGCCGCCATCATGGGCAGACACGCCGCCAGCCCCTCCGTGGCCTTCGCCTGCTCTGCTTTGAGCTGGGCCCGCTGAAGAGCCAGCCGGGCCCTACGTTTGGCCTTCTTGGGGTCCATCACCACCTGCAAGGAGAGAAAGGAAGACAGGCGCTTAAAAAAGCGAAAAAACATGTCGAGAGAAGATGTGGAAGCTGATGCCAAGGATAGTCTCTCTGATACGCCAGAAGCATGTAGTGTAGGAAGTAACCAGTCGCGAGTTGCGAAGGAAGAGTTTTCGCGGTGATGTTAGCAGTCATGAAGAATCATTTAGCGGAAACACTACCTACCTTGCCGCCGAGGCTAAAACAAAGTGCGTTGGCGGTTGGAGGGAAAGATAAGGAAAGGGAAGGGAAGGGAAGGAAAAGGGTGGAAATAAGAATGGCAGGGTTGTGCGTGATGATGTGCGGGCCTTGTGGCTTATCCTATCCGGCATACCTCGGAGTCGCTGTGGCCCTTGTCCCCCGGTCCCCCCGGGGCTCCTCCCCGGGCCTGCGGGCCGCCCGCCAGGTCGGAGAGAAGCACGCCGCTGCCGTTGGCACCGCCGCCACTCATGCCGTACGCATTGTAGTACTGCTGCATGAAGGCGGCCCCCTGAGCGTCACGGGTAAGTGGTCCCAGGCCGCCTGGGCCCAACTGCGGAGTGGTTGGGAGGCGCGGGGTGGCGGGGTGGCGGGGTGGTAGGGTAGTAGGGTGGTGTCGCGATGGGGGAAGAAAGAAATCAAAGGCACCGGGGCATGGGTGACAACTGACAGGAAAGAAGTGAAAAGTTCAAGGAAAATGTCCCTGGTCATCATCATCATCATCATCATCATCACCATTATCATCATTTTCGTCGCAGTTCTCTTGCGCTGGAAGTCATACGGTAATCATCGTACATTGTGAGGGGGAAAAATCTCGCTGAACAAGCTCCAACGACCGACCCCAAGGACCGACTCCCCCCCCTTGATGACGGCTTGTTTCCTATTGAGGCAACGGAACGGCAAGGCCGGCGGGGTAGGGAAGGGCCCCCCTTACAACAGAAGCTACAGCCACACAATGCACCGCACGACAGACCGGCGAACAGACAGAGAGACGACACACATAAACACATGGGCACATAATCACGTTACTTCCTCCCGCCCGCACCTGTATGCCGCGACCGCTGTTGGCGTTGCGCACCCTGGGCCCCAACGCTCCTCCGCCCCTGCCGTCATCACTCGACTCATCGTCGCTATCCGTGGGGGGCTCGTCGTCCTCCAGCTCCACCAGCTGGCCGTCCAATGTCTGAGGGGAGGAGGCGAGCAGTGCCAGTCAAGAAGTGGCAGTGCGGGGTTTCCGGGTAACGGAGCGAATAAGAGAATGGATAAGAGAACGGATAAGCAAAGTGGTTCAAAGCAATCGTGTTCAACATTAGGGCTCCCAGGGTTTGTTTGAATGGAACCCGAATAGCCTATAGAATGGAGCGGGAGGGGCGCGGGAGCCGTAATTTGAACGATGCAAGCATGCAGCATTACTGGGTGTGCATGAAGATAGCCCAACGCTAGTCAGCCAGAATGCAACAACCTGCAGCAACAGCAATAGCAGCAGTAGCAGTAGCAGTAGCAGTAGCAGTAGAGTAGCACCAGGGATACGGGCCTTGAGGGGGGCGTACTGTCGGACGCCATGTCATGTTGTCTTTCCCGCACCACCCTAACCCACATTCCCGCACCCGGACCCCCTCCACACACACGCCGGTGGACCGCAGTCGCGTGGACATCAGCGCGCATTCACCTCACCGTGATGAACCGGGGTGGCGGCTCCCCGTTGGCCGGGTGCATGAAGTCCAGTTGTCCCAGCAGCTCCCCCAGGCCGTAGGCGTCCGGGTCCCAGTAGTCTAACAGGGCGGTCATCAGAGCGGCGCCCTGGGAGGGTCGGGGGAGGGAAGGAAGACAAAGAAGGGGAGGGGAAGAGGGGAAAGACAAACCACAAACGAGTGAAGCTGCTGCCAGGGCAAGAGTCAGGGAAGAGCCAGGGAAGAGGGGAAGGGGGGAAGAGGAGGGTGAAAAGAGGTTGAGGACGTCAAATACATACACGAAATTTAGAAACCTCTAGGAATGAGGGGTGAGGAGCTAGAGTCAGACGTGTTTGATCCAATCCCCATCCCCATCCCACTTCTTCCCCCTTACCTGCTGTTCCAAGTGGCTGGTGGTGAAATGCTGTCGAGCCCAGCGACCTGAGATCGGTCCGGCGAAGGAGGCCTCCACCGTGAAGCTGGGTGAGGGAGTGCGATGGAAGTAGAGCAGGATGGGGGGGATTACAAGCGTGTGTGGGGTGGGGTGGGGTGGGGGTGAAAGACGGCGTGAAAGACGAACCACGAACGAGTGAAGCTGTGAGAGGGCGAAGGGGGATCAGTGTGGGTGTTTAACTGGGTCTCGGTTCTAGAGAGAAACTGGTGCACCCGGGAGAAAAACAGGGAACCCGGGACCCCAGCCAGGAAGGGAGCAACCCCCAATCGGTGGTTAGGGCTGGGGCCAGGGCTAGGCGGTCGCCGCGAGGTGGCAACCCATTCCACACGCTGGCTAGGAAGGGTATGGCGGGCGGGTGTCCGGTTTGTTCGATTATCCCCCACCCACTTCACCCCCACCCGCTCCTTCTCATCGATGTCGTTCCCCTGGACGACCAGTCCACACGGCGCCATCCCCACTAAATCCAAGAAACGTCCCAATGGCCCCCAATCCCCAACCACCCCTTTCCTGTTCTTTAGCATGTCCTCATCTTCACGTCAAGAACGCAGCGGTATCACCTCCTGGCTTCCTCGCCCTGAGCCCAACCCCCCTGAGCAGCACCCGCGAAGGAACATCCCTCCCCAAGAACACCCCCGCCCCTCTCATACACACACATACATACATACATACATACATACATACATACATACATACATACATACATACATACATACATACATACATACATACATACATACATACATACATACATACATACATACATACATACACGCACACACACGCACCTGTTGACTAGCCCCAGCTCCCGGAACCCCACCACTCTGCTGGTCCCACTTTTGGACTTCTGGACCTTGAAGCTGCAGTCCTGGTAGGAAAACAGGTCGGGGGCGTTGTACTGGATCAGCAGCGGAAGAAGCTTCTCCTGGAACCTGCAGGCGGGCGAGCGGCAGGCGAGCGGCAGGCGAGCGGCAGGCGGTTGAACCCCGGCGGCGGATGACAGGACTCGCGAAAAAGCCGATTATGGAAGTTCGTAGTGTAGGCTTTAAACAACACAACCCGCGGAATGAACCCCCGAACCTGAGGACCGAATCTGCGGGGGGGAGTTGATATCCAGTCGAGACGTAGAGGCTGTACCGATTATATATCCTAACTAACCAGCCCAACTAACCCGCCAACCGCCACCTCGTACCCCCGCTAACCTCCAGGGAATGGACGTCTGGCCCCCCAGTGAGCCCGGCTGAGGCCATCCGGGGAATGCCGGGTTTTGGTCTCGGGGCATCTTCTTCTCACAGCCGTACATGAACACCCCCCGCTTGCGACTGTGGCCGTGCAGGTCACAGAACATGACCACCTGGCACATCACCATCATCACCATCATCACCACCACCACCACCACCACCACCGCCGCCGCGGGAAAACCCAAAAGGGGAAGGCGACCAAAAAGGGGAAAAAGGGTTGTTGGGGGATATGTGTGGGATACGAAAACGAGCCCAGCAGGCGGCAGGGACCGGGCATAGCAAAGAGGGTTGAGCAGAGTAGAGAACGGAACGCAAAGCGCACACAGAGAGTGGAGAAGAGATGTCCGCGCGCACAGAACCGCACGCCTCACAGAGTTAGCGCAAAAAAAAGGTGTACGGGGGTATACAGGGTGTACGGCAACATCAGTTTCATCAATCACAGCGAACAGGCACCAAGCTACTTAATCCCGCAGCCCTGCCCCGGGGCCCCCAACTCCCTGCCCTCGTACCTCCCGCTCGTCCAGTAGCTGTTTGAGGTACTGCTTGGTGGCGTGTACGACTGGGTGCAGTTTGCGACTCGGGTCATTCCACACGCGGTTCAGATCCACACCGGCCAGACTGCCAGCGGGGAAGGGGGTATGTCGTGTAGTATGTGTGCGTGTGTGTATGTGTATGTGTATGTGTATGTGTATGTGTATGTGTGTGTATGTGTGTTTGTTTTGTGGGGCGGGGAATGGAGGTGGAGGGCCTATAGCGGTTCTAAAGGCAATGGCCACGGAGGTTGCGGGGGTTGTGGATATGCCGATGGTGACAGTGGTGGTGGTGGTGGTGGTGGCGGTGGTGGCGGTGGTTTTGGTGGTGCTGGTGGTTTTGGTGGTGCTGGTGGTGGTGGACGTGATGATGATGGTGGTGGTGGTTGTCCTCGGGACCCACCAAGGCGGCTCCCACGGCCTCTCACGACACCTTTGACGACTTGTTGCAAGGAGGTGTAAAACACATGCACACATCCGCATTGGGGAGTTTCCGCCCACCCCAGCCCCCCCTCCCCTCTGCCCCCCCTTTCCCTCTGCCCCCCTTTTCCCTCTGCCCCCCCTTTCCCTCCGGCCCCTTCCTC